ATAAAGAATTAAAGTGGGCTGGGATTGTGGTTCAGTGGAAGAGCACTTGCCTAGCATATACAAGGCCCTGGGTTCAATCCTCAGCACCACATAAAAATAAATAAATAAAATAAATATATTGTGTCCAACTACAACTAAAAAATAAACATTCAAGATTAAAAAGTAGGGTAGGGGGGATAGTATAGGATAGGAAAGGCAGCAGAATACAACAGACACTAGTATGGCAATATGTAAATCAATGGATGTGTAACTGATGTGATTCTGCAATCTGTATATGGGGTAAAAATGGGAGTTCATAACCCACTTGAATCAAAGTGTGAAATATGATATATCAAGAACTATGTAATGTTTTGAACAACCAACAATAAAAAATTTTTAAAAAAAGAGTTAGTGGATTTAGCATTTTATATCAAACTTAATGTAGTTCAAAATTTAGAAAATTCTTCATATAAACCAGCATAACTAAATTGGGAGGTAAAAATGGAATAGTAATAAAAAGCGTGGGCTTCAATCAGATGAAACAAGGTTCAAATCTAAATTTTGACTTTTATGATTTTGTGACCTTGGACATGCTTCATTTTCTTCATTTCTGGATTAAAAAAAATAATACCTGTGATAATGTAGGTAAAATATTTAATTGCTTTCGATACATGGCATGTACTTTCTTAATGAAGGGTAGCTTTTTATTATTATTATCCCAGATTCTGTTAAATAACTAATAAGAATTGCTATTCACTTTGGAGAGCTATATTTTTTTCTGTGTGGTTTGTTTTATTATTGGTTGTTCAAAACATTACAAAGCTCTTGACATATCATATTTCACACATTTGATTCAAGTGGGTTATGAACAACCAACAATAAAAATTTAAAAAAAGATTAAAAAGTACAGACTTATAAGTAAAAATTACAAATAATTGTTTAAAATTAAAGAAGACCTGATTAAATAGAAAGACACCCCATGTGCACATAAAATAGACTGGGGATATAGCTCAGTGATAAAACACCCCTGGGTTCACAAAGGTCACATATGATTTCATTTATATAAAATAATAGAATAAACAAATTCATAGAGAAAGTGGATTAGTAGCATCCATGGCCAAGGAGGAGGAAGGAATGGAGAGTAACTGCTAACATTTGTTGGTTTAGTTTTTAGAACAATGAAGATATTCAACAAGTAGATGACAGTGATGGCTGCACAACACTGTGACCTTTTTAAAAACCAGTGACTACATATTTTAAGAAGGTGGATTTTAGGGTATGTGAATTATATCTCAATAAAACCATTATAAAAAATACTAGCCAATAAAAAAGAAAAACGGGCTCAGGATGTGGCTCAAGTGGTAGTGCGCTGGCCTGACATGCATGAGGCACTGGGTTCGATCCTCAGCACCACATAAAAGAAAATAAAGAGATTGTGTCCACCTAAAACTAAGAAATAAGTATTTTTTAAAAAGAAAAGAGAAAAAACAGCAAACTACTGGTAAAATTGCAATGATAAGCATGTAACAATTTTTTCAAACATGAAAGCAGTCAACAAACCTTACTCTATTTCAATTTTCCTTCCATCATTGAGTACTATATAGCACACACTAGGATACTAGTACCAAATTTTTAAATTTTCAACAGGTGTTACCAAAATTTATTTAAAACCTGGGGCAGGGTAGGAAGTAGTGGTTGTCCTTATGATTTAAAGACTACTCTATTCAATTCACTGTTTACTATTTACTAAAGGTCACAGACTATACAATTACATGTTTACTTTTGTCTGGCAGAGATGCAAAAAATTTCTGTCAATTATAAAAGATACCTCCAGATGTTATGTTTCATTACCCTATATGACATTACTTGCTTTTGTGTCAATACTAGCAATTTTTATTTAACATTCAGTTATTAAATTATCTATAAATACTCATCTCTTCAAATGCTTTTTGAACTAGCCTTACCAACTTCTAGATTCTCTCAAAATATTAGACACATCTCATTTTTGTATGAGTTATGTTTCTATTTCATGTAAATAATAATTTAATAAGCTTTTAAAATTGGAGGACTATAAGCTAGTAACTTTATTTTTTAGTTATAGATGGACATAATACCTTTATTTTATTATTTTTTGTGGTACTGAGGATGAAACCTAGTGCCTCATACATCTGAGGCAAACGCTCTGCCACTGAGCCACAATTCCAGCCCTATTTTATTTATTTTTATGTGGTGCTGAAGATTATACCTAGTGCTTCACATGTGCTAGGCCAGCACTCTACCACTGAGCTACAATCCCAACCCCATTAGTAAACTTTTTATTTTGCTTGATAAGAACATCAGATTTTTGTTTTTAGTTCAAATTCATTCCCTTTTTATACAATGTCCAAGTGACCCTTACATAATTTGCTATTCAATAAAAGAAAACTTGTTCAAATAAGGTAACAGAAGAATTTTCCAGGTAACTGTTTATAATCCAGAAGCAATATCAATAAATCCTTAGGAAGCCAATCCATGGACTTTACACTTTTGTCAAGGACCAGTTGCTCTGGATTGAATATTCCTAGTTCTTTTAATGTTGGTCTAACTCCCTGGATGACATACGGAGTAGATTTTCTTATGAGCTTTGTCCTTAACAAACTCTAGGATGTGAACAGCACTAGCAAATCATTCAACCATCTGCATCAATGATTTGGAAGGTTCACTCCCTTTGTATACTTGTAGCTAGTTGTTATAGTCTTTTATATTTATCAAGTATTCTTATATGAAGGGACAGATTTCAATGGCTTTAACAGGAAAGAAATAAAAAACAGATTTCATAATAAAATCAAGTTTTCTGGATTCAGCTTTGATTCTGCTTCCAAATATTTTAATTTTTCTTCATTAGTACTTGATGATGAGAATAGTTCTACCAGGTATTTCTTGAGTTATTCTTAAGACTCAGTGTCTATTGGTCAACAACTTCTAGAATAAAACCCTTTTTTTTTCCTCCTAAGTATTTTTGCAAACACTAAAAATTTTAAATGTATTCATCCTGAAAAAAATAGTTAAAATGTTATTCAAAATTTGGATTATACTGAATTAATGACAGACTGCTTCATTTTGTTTTTGCTATTTTTTCGGTAAGTGGCCCTCCAAAGGCCCATGTGTTTTGTTCCCAGCCTGTAGTGCTATTGGTAGATGATAGAACCTTTAAGATGTAGGGCCTGGTTGAAAGTTTGTCCCTGGCTCATAGTTTGTTCTCTCCCTCTTCCTTCCTCCTTCTCCCCCTCCCTCCACCTTCTCTCCTTCTCCTCTCTTCTTTCTCTCTCTCCCTTCCTCCTCCCTCTCACTGTTTTCTGGACATAAAGCAAGAAGCTTGTTCTGCCTGCTTCACCACTGACCCAAAAGCAATGGGGTCAACCAACTATTAACTGAAACCTCTGAAACTATGAACCAAAATAAACCTTAATTGTTTTAAGTTGATTATCTCAGATATTTTGTTACAGTAATGAAAGCTAACAGTTTTATTATAGTAAATTATAAACAGTTGTAAAATCTTCCTGTTTTCCAGCTACTGATTTGATGTCATGTTCAGAAGGCAATATGTCATATAGGTCTGAGCAATCATCTTCTGCCTTTCTTGGGCCAAAGAAACCATTTTGCCAACATGTTGCCTCATCTGGCTTTATATGTATGTTTTCTTCAACCAGCTCCAATGGAACTACTATTCACCACTTAATCAGTCTTTTCTATACACCACCCTTGACAGTGCTAATTCATGATGAGAGACTGGAATATGAAACTGAGATACTAAAATGTCAAACACACAATAAATTTTAATTGAAAATATGAGAAGGGTTGGGCACCAGGGCCCATACCTATAATCCCAACAGCTCAGGAGGCTGAGGCAGGAGGATTGTAAATTCAAAAGCAGCCTCATCAACTCACCCAGGTCCTAAGCAACTTAGCAAGACTTGTTTCTAAACAACAACAACAACAAAATTTAAATAAGGTTGGGAATATGGCTCAGTGATCAAGGACCCTGAGTTCAGTCTCTGGTTAAAAAAAAAAATCCCAAGAGGGGAAAAAGTCCCTTTACCACTTCCTCCCAAAAGTGATCCCCCATTTCTCATAATATCCATGTCCAGAATAGAAGACAGGATTGAGTCAGAGCTTGACCAAGAGGTTGATGCAGAAAAGAAACTTTGAAAATCTTACTGTTTTCTGATTATTTATCCTCAATGCCATCCTCAGTCTGTATTCCTTTGATTACAATTAATAGAGATGCAATCCACTGATCAAAGAAGGTAGGGAAGCTGGGCATGCTGGCTTACACCTGTAATCCCAGTGGCTTGGGAGGCTGAGACAGGAGGATCTCAAGTTCAAAGCCAGCCTCAGCAAAAGTGAGGCACTAAGCAACTCAGTGAGACACTTTCTCTAATAAAAATACAAAATTGGGCTAGGGATGTGGCTCAGTGGTTTAGTGCCCTTGAGTTCAATTCCCAGTACCAACCCTCACCCCCAGCAAAAAAAAGAAGGTAGAGAAATAGGGGCAGGAGAAAGACACTATTAGCTTGCGTTCAAAGTGAGATGAGACAAAAATAAATGACTCAAGTATCTATCCTGGAGCCTAAAGAAGTGAGCATAATCAGGTCTCTTTATTTCCTCTTTTCTCTAATATCAATGTCATTCTCTCAAGCCAGCCCTATGGCTGGCTACAGGGATCTCACAACTCATACCTTCACAACTTATAAAGAAAAAGAGGCTCCTTTTCCAGAGTCAGTTCAAAAATTCTAAAGAGAACTCTGACCCAGTTTGGGTTTCAGGCTTATTCCTGAACCAATTATTATGGCCAGAGAGATGATTAGAATTAATCTTGAGTTACATGACTGCCAAGGGTAAGACTGGCTATATGCTGACCAATCTCATTTTATACATAACTATGTAAAATCAGAGGATGGATTTTATTTATTTTATATAATATGCAACACAAAGTTGAGGAGACATTATAATATTAAATGCCATATTAAATATGTTTATACCTTAAAAACCTTTATCTGCTCCATTACTGTAGAGCACATGATGATTGTAGGATTATCTTTTGGTTCTTCTTCAGGTTTCTCTTCTATCAGAGATCGTTTCCTTGCTGCCTTTCTTTTTTCTTGTAATTCTTTCTTTTGCTTCATTTGGAAAAATTTCAATGTCTTAAAAATCTCCCGGGAAAATTCTTCTACATCAGCTTCCATGCTTTCTCCATTGAGGTCCAAAAACCCTCCATCCATCCAGCTGAATTGAAAAAGAAAAAATACTATTAAACTTAGACTTTTGGATCATGAGAGGCCTTAGACAGCCTTTAGGCTAGACCCCTCATTTTGGGGTTTTTTGGGGGGGGATATTGATGGACCTTTATTTTATTCATTTATTTATATGTAGTGCTGAGAATCGAACCCAGTGTGTCACACATGCTGGGCAAGTGCTCTACCACTGAGCCACAAATCCAGCCTCTAGATCCCTCATTTTTTTAAAATTCATTTTTACTGGGGATGGGTTGTAGATCAGTGGTAGAATACTTGTCTAGCACATGTGAGCACTGAATTCAATCCTCGCACCACATTAAATACATTCATACATACATAAATGTGTTGTGTCCATGTACAACTAAAATTGTTTTTAAAAATTATAATTATACATAACAGTGGGATTCAATCTGATATATTTATACATGCACATAGCAAAATTTGGTCTGCTTTATTTCCCATACCTTTACTCCTTCACCTTCTCCTTCTCCCAATTTCCTTTTACTACTCTACTGATCTCTCTTCTATTTTCATGAAGTCCCTCTTCTTTCCCTTTTTCTCTCATGAGAGAATACATACAACATTTGGCTATCTGAGTCTAGATCTCACTCAGTATGATATTCTCCAGTTTCAACCATTTTCCTGAAAATGACAATTTCATTTTTCTTTATGGCTAAGTAAAACTCAATTGCATATATATGTCACATTTTCTTTATGCATCCATCTGTTGATAGACACCTAGGCTGGTCCCTTCACACTTGGCTATTGTGAATAATTCTGCTATAGAGATATGCATGTATCACTGTGATATACTGACTTTAATTCTTTTGGATAAATATCAAGGAGTGGTATAGCTGGCTCATATACTGGTTCCATTCCTAGTCTTTTGAGAAACCTCCATATGGATCTCCATAGTGGTTGTATTTATAATTCCACCAACAGTATACAAGTTCCTTTTCCCCTCACAACCTCACCAATATTTATTATTTGTATTCTTGATTATTGCTCTTCTAAATGGAGACAAAATCTCACTTTGCATTCCTTGATTGCTAAGATGTTGAATATTTTTTTCACATATTTGTTGGCCATTTGTATATCTTCTTTTGAGAAATGTCTGTTGTTTAATTCATCTATGCATTTATTGATTGGGTTTTATATGCATTTTTGTGTATGTTAAGTTTTTTGAATTCTTTATGTATTTTGGATATGAATCCTCTGTCAGAAAAGTAGCTGGCAAAGATTTTCTCCTGATCTGTACGCTCTTTCTTCATATTCTCAATTGCTTCCTTTGCTGTGCAGAAGCCTTTTAACTTAACATAACATTTATTATTTCTTGGTTTTATTTCCTGAGCTTTAGGGATCTTATTGAATAATAAGTTGATGCCTGTATCTATATGCCAGAGAGTTGATACCCTCTGGCAATTGCATAGTTTCTTGTCTTATTTACAGGTTTCTGATCCACTTTTAGTTGACTTTTAAAACAATTTATTTTTTTTAGTTGTAGTTAGACACAATATCTTTATTTTATTTATTCATATGTGATGCTTAGGATCGAACCCAGGGTCCTGCATGTGCTAGGTGGGCGCTCTGCCACTGAGCCACAACTCCAGCCCTTAGTTGACTTTTATGTAAGGTGAAAGATAGGGATCCAGTTTCATGCCATGTATAAATATTCGTTTTTCCTAGTACTATTTGTTAAAAGTCTGTCTTTTTTTCAACATATGTTTTTGACACCTTTGTCAAGGATCAGATGACTGTATCCATGCAGGTTTGTTTCAATATCATCTAGTCTATTCCACTTTCTATATGTCTGTTTTTATGCCAGTGCCATTCAGTTTTCATTATTGTAACTCTGAAGTATAATTTTGAGTTAGGAACTGGGACACTTCTGGCATTGTTCTTATTGTTCTTATTATTCAGAATTGTTTTGGCTATTCTGTAAATTTATTCTTCCATATGAATTTTAGGACTATTTTTATAGGTCTGTGAAAAAATGTCATTAATATCTTACTGGAGATTACTTGAATCTGTATATAACTTTTGGTAATTTTAATTTAATTTTAAATTTAATTTTAATTTTGACTTTAATGACTTTTGGCCATTTTAATATTAATTCTGCTTATCCTAGAACACAGGAGATCTTTCCTTTTTTAGTGTCTTCTTCAATTCTTCAGTGTTCTGTAATTTTCACATAGAGGAATTTTACCTCCTTGATTAGATTTATTTCTAGGTTGTTAAATTTTTGGAAGGTATGGATGAATTGTGTTTTACGAACTTCTTTTTCAGCAGATTTATTATTAGAATATATAAAAGCTATTGATTTTTGTATGTTAACTTTATATCCTGCCACTTTGTTGTATTTATTTAGCAATTCTAACACTCTGGTAGAATTTTTTAGGTTTTCTAAATAGGATCATTTCATCTGCAAATTGTGATAATTTGACTTCTTTCTTTCTTATTTGTACCCTTTTCTCGGTGGCAGGGGCTGGGTCCTGGGGTTTGAATTCAGGGGCACTCGACCACTGAGCTATATCCCCAGCCCTATTTTATATGTTATTTAGAAACAGGGTCTCACTAAGTTGATTAGTACTTCACTTTTGCTGAGGCTAGCTTTGAACTTGCAATCCTCCTGTCTCAGCCTTCTGAACTGCTGGGATTATAGGCGTGTGCCACCATGCCCAGCTTGTACCCTTTTTTATTTCTTTCTCTTAACTTATTTTTCTGGTTGAAATTTTAAGTACTATATTCAATAGTACCATATTGACTCCTCACTTTTGTAAAAGAAACATCTGAGGTGAAAGCTGTTATTAGTTTTTCTCAGTCACAGTAATTAACATCATTGAATTATCTCTTAAAAAGCTCATTGAGAATGCTAAACATAAAAGAGAAAGTGAACTAATAGCCAAGAGAGAGAAACTGATCTTGGAAGTAGAAAAGGAATCACGCCGCATGGAGGAGTTTACAGAATTTGCGGAGTTAGAACGCATGCAACAGGTCTGATTTAATATTTGTGGTAGTAGCTGTAACTACTTTTAACTATACTGCATGTGATAAAACATGTATTAGATTACAGATGGGCAACTAACAGTACCCAAATAAAATGTAGATTTTATCCCACCCATCTAATTTTTTGTGTAAATATAAGTCAAGTTAATTAATTGTAAAATAAAGTGAATTGGGGGTTGGGGTTATGGCTGAGCAGTAGAGCTCTCACCTAGCACACGCGAGACACTGGGTTCAATCCTCAGCACCACACAAAAATAAATAAATAAAATAAAGTCATTGTGTCCAACTACAACTAAAAACTAAATATTAAAAAAATTAAGTAAATTGACTCTGGACAACCCAAATGATACTGCAGAAATTATATTGATAAAGTTGGGTGACCCATTAGCATCATTGATACTCTTCCTATATGATACTTGGTTCTCATTAAAATGAACAAATAAATCTTACATTAAATATTTAGCCAAAAGAAAAAAAATAAAAACAACTTATATTTTACATATTCTTATACCTCATTTACTTAGTTTTTATTACATTACTAGAAATTACCGTTTTTCAGTTCGTTGCCATTTCAAAACCAAATTAAAAAACTTCTGATAGGGCTCAATGTTAACTTTTAATTTATCCAGTTCAGGATATTTTGTCAATTCCCACTTGAAAAGTTCCTCTTCTTTATTAATAAACTGCACTGCTTCTTCAGATTCCTGAATGCGTTTCTGTAGTTGTCTTACATCTGTCACATACTGAAAGCAAATAAAATTTTACCTTAAAAAACATCCCAAGTAGCTCAGTGTAGAGTGCTTGCCTCACAAGCACAGGCCCTGGGTTCAATCCCCAGCACCACACACACACACACACACACACACACACACACACAAAAATCCATGTTATAAAAATAAGATCATATATTACAAAGCTTATGTCCTTATATTTATATTAAATATTAACTTCACAACATTACTATGATAAAGAACAGAAAATATGGTTACATCTACTCTACAAATAAAAAATTAAGTCACAAAAAAGATCATGTACACAGTACTGTTCTAGGCCTAATACTGAAGTAAATCTTTGTAATAGTAAGCATATTTTTTCTATAATTTTAAATTTATGTTAGTGTCCTTATTAATCTGTGGGTAAACCACAACTACTACCACAAATATTAAATCAGACCTGTTGCATGCGTTCTAACTCCGCAAATTCTGTAAACTCCTCCATGCGGCGTGATTCCTTTTCTACTTCCAAGATCAGTCTCTCTCTCTTGGCTATTAGTTCACTTTCTCTTTTATGTTTAGCATTCTCAATGAGCTTTTTAAGAGATAATTCAATGATGTTAATTACTGTAGTACAAAAAAAGTTTTCAAATAAAAAAAATCCATCAGAGAAAAATAAACAAATAAATATTGTCTATAATGACTGATAAAGAAATGCAAAGAATAAACCACACAGAAGTTATTCAAAATTACATATAAGAGGATGTGAGGGGAAAGGTAAAAAACAAAACAAAACAAAACAAGGGAGAGAAATGAATTACAGTAGATGGGGTAGAGAGAGAAGATGGGAGGGGAGGGGGGATAGTAGAGGATACGAAAGGTAGCAGAATACAACAGTCCCTAGTATGGCAATATGTAAAAACGTGGATGTTTAACCGATGTGATACTGCAATCTGTATACGGGGTAAAAATGGGAGTTCATAACCCACTTGAATCAAATGTGTGAAATATGATATGTCAAGAGCTTTGTAATGTTTTGAACAACCAATAATAAAAAAAAACCACACAGAAAAAAATATAGCTCTCCAAAGTGAATAGCAATTCTTATTAGTTATTTAACAGAATCTGGGATAATAATAATAAAAAGCTACCCTTCATTAAGAAAGTACATGCCATGTATCGAAAGCAATTAAATATTTTACCTACATTATCACAGGTATTATTTTTTTTAATCCAGAAATGAAGAAAATGAAGCATGTCCAAGGTCACAAAATCATAAAAGTCAAAATTTAGATTTGAACCTTGTTTCATCTGATTGAAGCCCACGCTTTTTATTACTATTCCATTTTTACCTCCCAATTTAGTTATGCTGGTTTATATGAAGAATTTTCTAAATTTTGAACTACATTAAGTCTGATATAAAATGCTAAATCCACTAACTCTTTTTTTTAAATTTTTTATTGTTGGTTGTTCAAAACATTACATAGTTCTTGATATATCATATTTCACACTTTGATTCAAGTGGGTTATGAACTCCCATTTTTACCCCATATACAGATTGCAGAATCACATCAGTTACACATCCATTGATTTACATATTGCCATACTAGTGTCTGTTGTATTCTGCTGCCTTTCCTATCCTCTACTATCCCCCCTCCCCTCCCCTCCCCTCCCCTCTTCTCTCTCTACCCCCTCTACTGTCATTCATTTCTCCCCCTTGTATTATTTTTCCCTTTCCCCTCACTTCCTCTTGTATGTACTTTTGTATAACTCTGAGGGTCTCCTTCCATTTCCATGCAATTTCCCTTCTCTCTCCCTTTCCCTCCCACCTCTCATCCCTGTTTAATGTTAATCTTCTTCTCATGCTCTTCGCCCCTACTCTGTTCGTAGTTACTCTCCTTATATCAAAGAAGACATTTGGCATTTGTTTTTTAGGGATTGGCTAGCTTCACTTAGCATAATCTGCTCTAATGCCATCCATTTCCCTGCAAATTCTATGATTTTGTCATTTTTTAATGCAGAGTAATACTCCATTGTGTATAAATGCCACATTTTTTTTATCCATTCGTCTATTGAAGGCCATATAGGTTGGTTCCACAGTCTTGCTATTGTGAATTGTAAATCCACTAACTCTTATCTCAATGATATTGAGTAATTATTAACTTATGAGTTTCGTTTTTTTCTTATCTATGAAATGGGAGAAACAGGAGCATCTGGGATTTTCAAAAATATTTGATGAGTTAATAAAAGGAGAGCACTAAGTTCAGGGCTTACTATCATCAATTTATATAGTAGTCTGACTTCTTATTAATCTGTGAGTAAAACACAGCTACTACCACAAATATTAAATCAGACCTGTTGCATGCATTCTAGCTCTGCATGCAACCCTCTTTCTTACCAAACCCTGTGAGTTAAATCTAAAAGTGTGTCCTAAGTCTTCAAGGGCATAAATATGGTCAAAATCAAACTTACATTGAAGCATCCAGTTTTTAAAAATAGGAGGCAAGTAGGTATGAAAATTAAATGTGCACTTATGCTTAAAATGTCAGAATACAAACATATATACAGAAAAATATAGTTACCTCATCATTTTCATTAAAGACAGGACTGATTTTTCTAGGCCACATGAGGACAGCTGCATTTAAAGCTAAGTCTTCTTGAGGAAACAGAAAATTATCTAAAAAGTAACTCATTTGGCGTCTAGATTCCTACAAAAGAAACTCTAGATATAATATGCCATATAGAAAATTTGAGGCATTATGAGAAAAAAAATCCAAACATCTCTAATATTCTTTCAAATTTCAACATGACTCAGATTAGTAATTGGTATTTTATGTAATTCTCAAATCACATGGATATTTTAATAGTCATAGTATTAATTTGGCTTCAGGTCTTGCATTTGTATTTTTATAGTAGCAATAAAGCTTTTCAAGATTTTCACTTGCAGTTGGCAAAATAAGGTACTCTTGGCCCTTCTTGCATATGTCTGAAAAAAATGTTCAAATCCTCACCAACCCTTGAAACATTTTAAAAAGATTTTTAAATTCTTTTTATTTCTAGAATCAAAAAAATATTTTTAGTCTTTTGTGATAAATATTTTATTATCTTTAATTTTACTTTGCATCTTCAGTAATATTGTTATCTTTTTTGGCTACTTAACATTACAGCAATAGTCCAGAAGGAGTTTGTGGAGAATGGCAAAGGGGAAAAAAAAAACTTAAAACACAGATTTATCTGATTAGAGAAGAATACTTTTTATCCCCTATTCCTTTTTTTTTTTTTTTTTGGTACTAGGAATTGAACTCAGGGGCACTCTACCACTAAGCCACCTTCCCAGCCCTATTTTTGTATTTTATTTAGAGACAGGGTCTCACTGAGTTGCTTAGTGCCTCACTTTTACTGAGGCTGGCTTTGAATAGTGTTGAATAGCAGTAGATAATAGCAGGCATTCTCATCTTTGTCCCATCTTCAAAGGGAAAGCTTTCCAGGTTTTACTATTAAATGTGACATCTGCTGTACATTTTCAATAGGTACTTTTATTAAATTCCTGAGTTCCCTTTTGTTGTTGATATGCTACTAGCTTTTTAAAAATTATTATGAGCAGGTATTGAATTTTATTTAACACTTAACTTTTGTGTCTATAGAGAAGCTCACATGCTCATAGATGTTTTCCTCTTTAATGTGTTAATATAATGAACTATATGAATTAATTTTTAAAGTTATATCTCTATATGCATTACATGTACATGTATATAATATGTAAAATCTAAACTTTAAATTAGCATTTGAATCTGAATTTCAATTCTTCAATATGATAGCACTATAGCACAACATATGGATCGATGAAAGCAATAGGGGCTGGTCGTGGTAGTGCATGCCTATAATCCCAGTGGCTTGGGAGGCTGAGGCAAGAGGATCATGAGTTCAAAGCCAGCCTCAGCAGCTTAGCAAGGCCCTAACCAACTTAGTGAGACCCTGTAGAAAAAATAAAAAGTACTGGGGATGTGGCTCAATGGTTAAGTGTCCCTGGGTTCAATCCTTGGCACCAAAAAAAAAAAAAAAGAAAAAAAGGAAAGAAAAGAAATATATAATATTTGATAAGGACAGAAATAAGACTGTAATTATTTAAAAGTTACATGATGATATATACAGACATTCCAGAATAATCTTCAGATAAACTATTAAAATCAAGAAATTAAAAATATATTAAATTTTTTAATAAAATGAAACATTTTAAAGTTATCCTTGAGGGTGATGGATATTAAATTAGCATATAAAATAAATTATATTATAGTCCAATGTATAAAATAAATATCCATGAGTCCATAGTGATATAAATAAATGACTAAATAAATTTTAAAATGGAGGAATACAGACAAATCTCAGACATATGAGAATTCCAAACAAATTATATAGATATTCCATCTTAAAGGAGGGAGAGGATACTTTCCCACTTCTTAAGTATGGGCTGTACATAGTGACTTTCCAAAGAGTACAAAATGAGCTGGGTCTGATGACGCATGCCTATAATTCTAGTGACTCAGGAGGCAGAGGCAAGAGGATCACAAGTTTGAGAACAGACTCATTTGAATGAAAAATGAAAAACTTTTAAAAAGAGTTGGGGATGTAGCTCAATGTTAAAGCACCCCTGGGTTCAATCTCAAGTACACTCCATAAAAAAGAGACAGAGAACAAATGAGAATGGGGTAAAAGAGTAGAGAGACTTGACAAACACTAGTTTGACCAGGTACCAAAACCAACATCAACAGAGACAAGTCATGTTAATAATATATGCCCTTGATATGATAAGATCACTTTACTCTGTGATCCTCCTCCAAAAAAATCCCCATACATAAGTCTCATCATAAGGAAAAATATTAATAGAGGGCACTCTATAAAACACATAACCAGTACTCCTCAAAACTATCAAGTCATCAAAAAGAAACAAACAAAAAGCCGAAGAAACTACTATCAGCCCCAGAAGCCTCTATGGAGAAATGACTAGATACCATGTGGTATCATGGATGAGATGGATTCTGGAACCAAAAAAAAAGGACATTAGGTAAAACCTAAGGAAATCTGAATCAACTTCATCAGCCTCATTTAATAATAATGTGTCAATATTGGTTTATTAATTATAACAAATGTACCATATTAATGTAAGGTGTAAATAATGGGGAAATTAAGTGTGTTCAGGAAGGGGAGCTATTAAGAGAACTCTGTACTATCTAATCAATTTTTCTGTAAATTTAAAACTGTTCTAAAAAAGTCTGTTCCTTATTTTAATAACCTGTGTTTCTCTATTCAAGCAATGAATAGAAGATGAAAAACTTAAAAGACCATCTAAATGTAAAAGATATTAAATACTTGAAATTATCTAACAAAAAATGTATACAACTTTGACAGAGAAAACTATAAAAAAGAGATAATAAAGAGGAGATAAATAAATAAAAGGTCTATCATGAATTAGCTTTCATCTTGTAAATATGTCACTTCTCTCCATCACCCATTTAATTACTACATTTCTAATCAAAATGCCAACAGAATTTTCTGGAACATTAAAAGCTGATTCTAAAATGTATATGAAGCTGTGTGTAGAAGAAGAGGAGCAGTGTGACCCCGGCCTACAGAGGACAAGGAGCAGAGCAATTGCTCAAGCGCAGAGGAGGAGGGGAAGGAGATCAATGATCCCAGCCCAGTGCAACCGAAGGAGGAGAGCGACAGTGCTATGGGCCCCCATCTACCAACCGCTGCTCTCCCGTCTGCTTACATCTTGGGACACTGCAGCCACCTCCTTAACCCCCTGGGACAACAGACAGGGCCTGGAGGCAGCAGTGGCCATAGCACTGCACACCACAGTGCTGTATGTCCAAACAGTCTACCCAATGCCACCTCATCCTGCCCTCTCAGCCCTATCTCCAAAAGTGGTGGCCTCCAATTGGGACATCTCCTCCACCATCTTGGTTTACCTCCACTGCCACCACCATCATCACTAGTTGAGGCAGCTTCCATCTTAAGACAATAGCTAGGGCCTGGAAGCCTAACATCAAGATACCTACAGGTTTGACGCTGCTACCACCACCAAGTAGGGACATGCCTGCTTCCATCTAGAGACAACATCCAGGACCTGGAAGACCATCACCAAGGTCCCTGCAGGCTTGGTTATACTAGAGGTATCCCTGCTAGCCTACGTCTTTTAATTCCTCTTGCACTCTTCCTGTGATTTAGTACCTCTATATTCTTACCTCCTGCCTCATAAACCCCACATCCTACACACACACAAACACACACACATACACACACACACACTACTCTCTCTTTGTCCACCATCAGAAACTGTAGACCCTTATCCAAACCTACTATTTATATTGTAGACATTAATCAAACACATCATTTCTGTTTATTGCAACAAAATTGTAATTGTCTAAATAGGAGCTATATGGTTTAAGACTGCATATTGTTTGCATTGGGTGCTGTAAATATGGATCTCCCTCTTAAAGGTAAGGTATCGGTAACCTGCATGGACACTACAAGATTATAGGTTAGAAACTATAATATCTTGGATCTGCACTGCTAGAGAGGAAGACACATGGACTACATGAAAAACCAAGAGAAGAGGCTGGGGTATGGCTCAGCGGTACAGTGCTTGGCTAGCACATTTGAGGCTCTGGGTTCGATCCTTAGCACCAAATGAAAATAAATAAATAAAATAAAGGTATTGGGTCCAACTACAACTAAAAAAAAACAAGAGAAGAAAGTGCCCCAAACAAACCAAGATGCTACAATAATAGAATCCACTGACAGCACAGTAGATGAAATGTCAGAGAAGGCATTCAGAATGTACATAATTAAAATGATCTGCAAAGCAAAAAATGACATAAGAGAGCAAATACAGGCAATAATTGATCAATCCAACAAAGAGATAAGAAAGCAAATATAAGTAGCAAAGGATTACTTCAAGAAAGAGATAGAGGCTTGAAAAAAAACCCAGAAATCCTTAAAATGAAGGAAACAATAAACCAAATAAAAATTCAATAGAAAGCATCACCAACAAATAGGTCACTTGGAAGACAGAACCTCAGGCAATATATAATCTTGAAAATAAGTTGACCACACTGTGAAGATGGTAAGAAACCATGAACATAACCTCCAAGAATTATGGGATAACATGAAAAGACCAAATCTAAGAATTATTGGGATAGAGGAAGGCACAGAGATATAAACCAAAGGAATGCACAATCTCTTCAATGAAATAATATCTGAAAATTTCCCTAAACATGAAGAATGAATTGGAAAATCAAATACAAGAGGCTTACAGGACACCAAATGAACAAAATTACAAGAGATCTACACCAAGGCACATTATAATGAAAATGCCTAGCATACAGAATAAGGAAAGAATATTAAAAACTACAAGAGAAAATTTCAGATTACATATAGTGGGAAACCAATTTGGATCTCAGCAAAGTTTTCAGCCCAGACCCTCAAAGCTAGGAGATCCTCCAACAACATATACCAAGCTCTGAAAGAATTGATGCCTACCAAGAATCTTATATACAGCAAAATTAAGCTTCAGATTTGATGACAAAATAAAAGCCTTCCATGATAAACAAAAGTTAAAAGAATCTATAAGGGCTAGTGTTGTGGTTCAGTGGTAGAGTGCTTGCCTAGCACATGTGAGACACTGGGTTTGATCCTCAGCACCACATAAAATAAATGAATAAATAAAAGGTATTGTATCCATCTACAACTAATATGTGTGTGTGTATGTGTGTGTGTATATATATATATATATATATATATATATATATTTGTACAGAATTTACAACAAGAAAGCCTGCACTACAGAATATTCTTGCAAAATATTCCATGAGGAGGAAATGAAAAACAACAATGAAAATCAGCAAAGGGAAAAACTACACTAAAGGAAAAGCCAAATCAGGTCAAGTTTAAAGCCAAAAATAAATCAAAATGACCAGGAATACAAACCATATTTCAATAATAAATAAATATGTTTGAGTAAAGAACATATAAGCATATGTATTGTATATGTGTGTGTTTTTTATATATATAATATATATTTATAAATATATATTATATATATTTAAAATATAAATTTATATATATTCATAAATATATATATAAACATATATTTATATAAAGAGTGCTCACCTCACATGCACAAAGCCCTGGGTTCAATCCCCAGCACCAGAAAAAAAATGCACAGTTAGATTTAGGAATTGGGGTGGAATTAGAACAGCTTTGAAGTCTTTGTATAATCTTTTAAATTAAGCACCTAGAATTATAGTTGTGCATTTGGGCTACAGCTGTAGAGATTAAGAATTGTTGATTAATACTAGGGAATACCGTTAGAATTATGGTAATATATGGTAGCAATTTCTATACAAATAAAATGAATATATATAAATAGAGGTAGATATTTATGCATGTGTATATAAACATTTTAGAAAGAATAATAAATTTGTAAATATACAGGAGTATGTTTAGTATTTTCATATGTGTTACAGTTTGGTTTAGAAGATTTGGGTTTCTTGTAGTGATAGGATTATGGTTAACATTAGTCACATATATATACATACAAGTGTATATAATGATATATAAAAATACATATGTGAAAATATATATAGATATTCAAAGTAATATTTTTAGTTTATATTTGAAAGTTTTTGTTTAGGGTTAATTCAGAGTTACAAACTAGCATTGTGGTTAGGGTTATAGATTAAAATATATATGTAAATATGACTATAAATATAAATATATAAACAAAATTATATATAAAAATATATACTTATATGTGCTTTTATCTCTTGTTAGGTTTATGGTAAGGGGAATTGTTAGGTTTTGTGTTAACGATAGGGTAAGCCTGCAGAAATGAACATATATGAACATATACATGAATCTGTATGTGAGTTTATAAATATATATCTCAAAATATACAGAAATATTCATGTAAAGTATTATTGCTTATATGTAACAATATTTATGAATCTATATTCCATAATGTATAGGTACATTCATGTAAATTGTTATAGTTTATAGAGGTTTCTGTGAGGCATATTGGTAGGTATAGGAATAAGTGTAGAAACATAGTTAGCATTAGTTTAGGTTTTGAACATTATTATCCAACTATATGAATATAATATAAAATATATATGTAAAAATATACATGGAAATATTTAAATGTATATGAATTTTTATATAGCTAATTTTTTGAGATGGATGTTTACATTGTTGTTTAGATATATTTTATGAATATGTAACTGAATATATATGAAAACTTATGAGTAGGATTTTGTTTAGCATTGGGGTACATATATACATGTTTATAAACATAAAACATAAATGGGTATTCAACGTAATAATTTTTGTATAAAAGACTGATGGTTATGGGTATGTTAGGTTTAGTTCCAAGTTAAGGACTTGGTTGAGGGTAAGGATTACCACTGGAATACATATATCAATATAAACGTATAAATATAAATATAGAATTAAAATTATATATGAAAGTTTATAAATATATATTACTTTATCTTGACCTGGTTGGTGGAAACATAGATGCTCACTTCAAAAATATTTTTAATTACATTTTACATACTATCAATATGTATATCATATTTCACAATGAAAAAAAATTTTTAAATATATAAATTAAAATTCTTACCTGGATTCTTAAGGCCAACTCTTGAATTCCTATAGTCCGGGCTTTTTCTACATAAGATATCAGATCCATCATCTCTTCTGTTGTTTCAGGGACTTTTAATGCATGATCTTTAATTGCTTCAAACTCACTGCAAATACTGACATGATTCTCTGTGTTACTATTCTTAACGTAATTAATTTTATGTTCAATAAATGTGTATTATTATGATTAGCATAAAATATGAACTGAATATCCTAAAAATAATTAGTTAATTCATTAAGATATCATATAATATTTAAACTTGTCTAATATAACTCAGTATACAAGTCTATAAAATTATGTAATATCTTCATGTGAAATTATGGCATATTTAAATTTTTTTTCTAGTAATCACTTCAACCCTCTTCACTACCAAGATAAACATACCTTCTATCAGTCAGTAATAAATTTAAATTTTGCCTCAGTTTCTACTAACTTTGTGAACTTCAGCAAATCTCTAAGACTCGGTTTCCATATTTTATCTAAATTAAGCTATTAATCTTGCTGGATATTGTTGTAATGCAATAAAAATATAAAGAGTCTAAAACATAGTATATTCTCATTTATCAGTAACTATAATCATTAGTTTAATTATTAGTGCCTTTTGTGAAACATGACCATATAGGAATTAAATATATCAAATCCTTATTTTTTTCTTTTAAATATTCTTTTAGTTGTAGATAAGCACAATATCTTTATTTATTTATTTTTATGTGGTGCTGAGGATCGAACCCAGTGCCTCACGCATGCAAGGCAAGCGCTCAACCACTGAGCTATGATCCCAGCCTCCTTATTTATATTTTTAATGCTACAATTCTCTTTTAATATCCTGTGTATGAATGTCTTGGATACCCTATAGCAATTACTGAGTTAAAACAACATTTTATAGAATTGTCATCTTGTGCTTTAAAATACCTGTATTATCATGTTACTACCAGACATATCAGGGGGAAAAGGCCATGCCAAAAAAAAAAAGTATAAAAGTGATGTGATTTTAAAAATAAATCTTAGTTCATGCAGGTATTTCATATATATTATGTGGAGGAATTAACTTGTTTCTTTAATAAAGACTTGGGTGCCTACAAGGTTCTAAGCACTAGAGAAACAGAAGCATATACAACCAAGTCCCTGCCCTAATAAAGCTTATATACAAGCTAAGGAGAGAGTCAAAAGCACATAAACACACATAATGTTAAGTAATAAAAATGTGCTATCTGGAAAAAATAAAGCAAGGAAAGTGGGGGTGGGGGGGAATGATGGAGTATAGGGAAAGGACCTATTTTATATAGAGTAGTTAAGGAAGGCCTCTCTCAAAGCTAGAGAAGAAAACTGAGTCATGCAAATATCAAGAAAGAGCTTTCAGGAAGAAAAATCAGCAAGAACAAAGGCCCTGAGGCAGCATTAAATTTGGCATACTTCAGGAATAGTAAACAGGCCAAGGGAGAGGACCTGGTATGAAACTAGAGAGGTTAGCAGGAGTCAGATCATGAAGAACTTTATAGTTAATTCTTGAATATCAAAAACAAAAGCGATGCCCCAGTGTGGATAATGCAAAAAGAGAATCTTGTAAAATTTTCTTCTTGACAGAATAGAATCTGTCCCTTGGGAAGGTATTTCAGCAGAAGTACAGGAGGTAAACAATATGGTAAGATTAAGGTGGCCCAAGCAAATTGCTCTTTAATGATCCTGCACTTAACATAGTGGCAACACATTTCCCCTATCTCAAGCATGGAATTTATTCAGGAAGGAATTAAAGAAACAACTAGGTAGAATAAACTGGGAGACTTTCCAGCTGCTCTTTTATTATGGGTTTGTAAGTTATAGTCATTTTGTTGGAAATAATAAAAATTTCTGGAAAAATCATAAGTACTATTTTTTAAAAATCTTTTATATATATTTTTAGTTTTAGATGGACACAATATCTTTATTTTACATTTATATGGTACTGAGGATTGAACCCAGTGCCTCATGCATGCTAGGCGAGCACTCTACCACTGAGCCACAACCCCAGCCCCTAAAAAATTTTTAATAGGTTATGTTAAACATACAACCATTTCTGAATTAATTATGCCATTATCATTGCTCTTAACAAAATTGTTAAGATTCTCAAGAAAGGGATAGGGATTAATACTTAACCATCTTTGATATCTTTTTGTGTAGTATGTTTTTGTCCTAAGTATACCTGACAAACATTTCACTTTCTGACATTCATTTGAATATTCATTTCAAAGTATGTATTGGATGCCTATTTTATGTCACTCATAAGGCTATATGCTTTACAAATGTTATCTGTTATCATAACAGTAATTCTAGGTATTCTTCATAGGTGACATAGTAGGAAACTGAAGCTCGGGGAAATCAAGTAACTTGCCCGTATAATAGTTAGTTAATCGCAGAGCCAGGATTTAAATTCAGGTCTGATTCCAAAATACATACTCTTTGCACTCTGCCTCTGGGAAGATAAACATAATAGCTAACATCTATAAAGTACCTACCATATGTCAGACACTGAGCTAGGTATTATACATATATTAGTTTTAACTTTTACAGTAAGGTACAAACTCAAATTTTGCAGGGGCTGAGAGGAAACAAATGACTTAAATGAGTTTTGATGAGTTGCTTGACCACTGGTGAACAAAACACAGGACACATTTCCCATCTAAAGAGAAAAGTCACTTCTTAGTTCCTTTTACCACTGCAGGCCCAATATGGCATAGTCTTAATCTTTTTATTAAAAAAAAAGTAGGAAATCTAGTGGGTTGGGGGGCATGTGAGCTTTGTGTATGATCTAAATTTTGAAATGTTGACAGCAAATGGAAATTTTTTTAAACAAAATAAAACAATGTGAGAAAAACAAAACATATCTGCATGACACACACAGCTAATAGGCCACTAGTTTATTAATCCAATTTTATAGCTACCCTACAAAGTAGTTATCACTGTCTCCATTTCACAAAAAGAAAAATAAGCTATGTGATACAAATAAATATTTGGGTAAGGAATGATTACAGATCTTCCCAGTATCACAGAAAATATACCACCTTTTTATTGCCATATTCCCTGTGTTCAAACACTGACTTCTTTCAATTTCTTTTCTTTTCTTCAATCCTGAGTTGCCTTAAAACCAGTCTCAAACAGTATCAGACAAAAAGAACCCAGCCCAATGAGACTAAAAAGGAACCTCCTTAGGAGAGCAGCTAATGAGGAGAAATTGTAAGTACTTTCTGTGTTAATCTTTTCTTTTTAAATGAGAATTATTTTAGCAAAATATTTCTTTTGGCCGTATTATTCTGAGGATGGTAATTAATTCTACTTACCATTCATTTTCTTTTCTGTGTTTTGAGGCTATGTCATTTAATAATATATTTGCAAAGGCTTTTGCTTTATTTGTCAAGCCTGTCTTCAAATCTTCACAATCCAAACGCACCATAGGGTAATGCATCCACTGAGGCAATAGCATTATTTCTGAGGCAAGACTGAAAAATGATTCTATAAACTTAAAAAAAAAGAAAAAAAAATGCTTAGAATTTTCTAATCATCAGTGATTTTATAATATTGCACTGTATGAAATTATTAATCATGAATATAAACTCATTTCTTTTTTGCTAAATAAATAAAAATCTTTCCTTTCATTGCATAAATCTTTTTTTTTTTTTTTTTGGTTCTGGGAATTGAACCTAGGGCCTCAGAGACACTAAGTACATGCTCTGCCACAAAGCTATACCTTCAGCCAACATAAATCTTTTTCTAACCCATCTTTTCACTAAGTAATTTGTCAATCTACTAGTAAATAAATATCCAGTATGATGCCATTTACAGCATTTCACTAGGTGAAATTTTCCTCGATAATTATTTTCAAAAATTCTGCCCAGGGGGTTAGCTCAGTGGCAGAGCACTTGCCTAGCATGTGTGAGGCACTGGGCTTGATCCTCAGTACCACATAAAAATAAATAAATAAAATAACAATATATGTCCATCTAAAACTAAAAAATATTTTTTTAAAAAAATATTTATATATTTTTTAAAAATAGTTTATATATTTATATATTTTTAAAAAATAGTTATTCCCAGAGCCAACTCATTCCTCTCCATTTAGAAAGAAACCTATAACATGTGACAATTTCTGTAGCTAATATATATCTGCTTTTATCATTACTGATGCCTCACTAATGATTCTAGTTCAGTATTTAGGAAAAGAAATGTAAGAAACTTTTTGGTTCAAAATAATCTAAAAGGAGAGAAAATTGAGACATTCTGCTATTACCAAATATCGAAGATACTGGTTATAAATTTTTTAACACCCAAATAAAGGGATAATTTTCTTTCTTCTTTTTTTCTTTCCCTCCCTCCCTCCCTCCCTTCCTTTCTTTCTTGAAATTGAACTGAGGGGCACTCTACAACTGAGATGCACTCCCAACTCTTTTTTATTTTGGGGAAAGATCTCACCAAATTGCCAAGGTTGGCCTCAAATTTGGAATCCTCCTGCCTCAGCATTCTGAGCTTTTGGGATAACAAAATTGGCAGGGCATGGTAGCTCACGCCTGTAATTCAGAATTATAAGTTCCAGGCCAGTCTCAGCAACTTAGGGAAGCCCTGTCTCAAAATAAAAAATAAAAAGGGCTAGGGATGTAGCTCAATGGTAGAACACCAGTGATTCAATCCCAAGTATTGCCCCCCTCAAAAAAAAATTTAACTAGAGATAAAAAGGAACACTTCAAAATAACAAAAAGGGTCAATCCACAAGCAAGATATATAACATTTACTTATACATTTGCACCTAACAACAGAATACTAAAATACATGCAACAATAACTGAGAGAAATGAAGCAAAAATAAAAATAAACAATTGAAAAATAGTTGAAGATTGCAATATCCCACTTTAAATAATGGATTGAACAACTGGGCAGATACTCAAAAAGGAAACAAAAGACTTGACCAACACCATAAACAACTAGAGTACCAGACATAAGAAACACTTTACCCAACAAAAACAATGTACACTCTTTCAAGTACACAGAAAACATTCTCCAGGATATCCATTTACTAAGGAATAAAACAAAATTAGGTAAATTTAAAAGGGTAGAAACTATACAAAGTATCTTCTCTAACAAAAGTAAAATGAGGTTAGAAATCAACAAAAACACAAATGTGTAGAAATTAAACTGTCTTAGGTTATTGGTAAAAATAAATCAAAAGGAAAATCAGGAAATACTTTGAGATTAATGCAAATGAAGGCAACTACTATATAAAAATTTATGGGCTGCAACTGAGGCAGTGCTTACAAGGAAATATATAGCTATAAATTCCTATATTAGGAAGAAAGTTCTCAAATGATAACCTGAACATCCACCATAAGTCCCTGGGAAAAACTAAAGCAAACAAAAAAATAAAGCAAGTACAATAAAGTAAATAAGAGATTAGAGTGAAAATTAAATAGAATATTAAAAAAATGAAGAAAAAAATCAATAAAACCAAAATCAGTTCTTTGAAAAGAACAACAAAATCAACAAACCTTTAACTGCAGTGACTAAGATAAAAGATGATGCAAATTACTGTAATCAGAAATAGAAGAGGAGTATGATCAGATCAATCTAAGACAGCATCTGTGGAACTGGAAACTACCTCTACTCCTAATCACCTGCCTACAGAAGAGGAGAAAACAGAATCTAATTATCAGGAGGTTGCTAACTCATAACACTATATAAAACATTTACAGAGTAGATGGGCACTCTCATTTTTAAAAAATGATTAAAGTAACTTGGCAACCAAACTTTTAACTGATCTCTAAGTTGGATACTGTTGAAGACCATTTGGGCTCTCCACAACCATAACTAGTTGTCTAGTAATTTAATGCCTCTCTGTGACTACTCACTTTTTAAGGATGGTATTGATCCTATATGGGATGATGAGAAATACAAACGGGGTAGAAGATGGCTCATTATATTGAACAAATGGCAGAGATGAAGTGACCTGCTATGCCTTACTGTAGAATCTTTTGATGACTATAGTGATGATGTTTGTGGAGCTGTTGTTAATGTTAGAGCTAAAGGTGGTAAGATAGCAATATGGACTACTAAATATGAAAAGAGAGGCTATTACACATATAGAGAGACTATACAAGGAAAGGCTAGGACTTCCTCCAAAGACAGTGATTAGTTATCAGTTCCATGCAGACACAGCTACTAAGGCAGCTCCACCACTACAAACAAGTTTGTTGTTTAAGACTGCATCAAGGAATCCATAATTGGGAACTGAACCAAAACTTCTTTAAAAGCAGAGTGGACTGCATTCAAATTTGATTCCATCTGAATGTTGCTAAGATATAAAAGAAGTCCCATTTGCCTTTGTCTTGTACTTCTTTGTTCATTTTTGAAAATTTTTATTAGTGTTTCCACTGTTCCAATCAAAGAATTACAGCCACATCATCCCCAGAAGCCCTATATGTGTTCCTGGACCACTCTTAATTAGTTTAGTTGAATTACCATTACAAACACATTTTACCCATTCATACTATTCAAAAGAACTTACATTTCTATACCTTAAATGAAAATAATTGAGTTTATATTCCATTGTATGCAGGGACATATTTTGCTGCTTTGAAAGAATATGATGCATACAGGGTTTTTTTAAGCAGTTTTCTTTGTTTCTTTTTTTTAATATTTATTTTTTAGTTTTTGGTGGGCACAACATCTTTATTTTATTTTTATGTGGTGCTGAGGATCGAACCCAGTGCCCTGCGCATGCCAGGCGAGCACGCTACCACTTGAGCCACATCCCCAGCCCAACATCTTTATTTTATTTTTATGTGGTGCTGAGGATAGAACCCAGTGCCTCACGCATGCCAAGCTAGTGCTACCACTTGAGCCACATCCAGAGCCCTTCTTTGTTTCTTTTGACAGCATTATCTTTGCTGTTTTCTTGCTGATGGTGGCTAGATTTTAGTTGTTTCCCTACTTGATAATATCAGTGACTCTGATTTCAGTTTCTCATTTGTTTTGTTTTTTCCTAAAGTAACACTGGTGAAGGATCCAGGAATATAACACAAAGATGGAATAAACATTAATTTTTGTAAGGGAAAGAAAAATGAAAGAGGACATCCTGACAGAAATAAAAAGGATCATAAGGGAATATTATGAACAATTGTATGCAATAAATTACATAACTTTAGATGAAATATATAAATTTTTATATAGACACAATCTACTGAAACTGATGTGATAAAAAATAGATTATCTGAGTAGATCTATGAAAAGTGAAGAAATTGAATTAATAACCCAAAAACTATTTACAAGGAAAGTCCAGACCCTTCATTAATAAATTATACTAAGCACTTAAAAAAGAATACCAATCATTCTTCCAAAAATTTTTGAAAAGTTTTTAAGACCAGTGTTACTTTGAAATAAAAAGCAGACAAACTATAATATCACAATAACAGAAACTACAGTATCTCTTATGAAGATGGACACAAAACTCAACAATATATCACAAACTAAATCTAACAACATATAAAAATAATTATATATCATGACAAAGTGAAACTTATTCCAGCAATGCAAAGTTGTTTTCATCAATTAATGTAATATATCCTATTAATAGGATCTGATCATATATATAGAAAATCTTAAGCTATCCCCTAATAAAAGAACTATTCAAACTAATATACAAGCCAGGCAAGGTTGCAGGAAGCAAGATCAATACATGAAAATCTATTGCATTTATATGTACTAGCAATAAATAATCTAAAAATAAAATAGCATCAAAAAATTAAATATTTTGGAATTAATTTAACAAAATAAAAGCAAAATCTGCATTCTGAAAACTATAAAATACTATTAAAAGAAACTCAAGAATATCTAAACAAATGGAAAGATATTCCATGATCATGGATTAGAAGACTTACTATTGTTAGGATGCCTATACTCCTCAAATTGATCTACATATAAATTCAACACAATCCCCATCAGAGTTCCAGTTGACTTACTTGAAGAAACTGAGACAGTGATTCTAAAATTCACTTGAAATTGGAAGGGACTCTGAATAACCAAAACAATCTTTAAAAACCAAAGCAGTAAGACTTGTAATTTCTGATTTCAGATTTTACTACAAAGCAAAAACAATCAAGGAAAGAACATAGATCAATGGAATAAAATTGAGAGGCCATAAATAAAACCTTGCATGTATGGTCAATTGATTTTTGACAAGGGTATGAGGATTATCCAATGGTACCCTTGTTGAAAATAATTTTTTTTTAAATTGTGCTGGGGCAACTAGAGAGTCATGTGTAGAAGAATGAAATTAAAGTTTTAGCTCATTACATATGTAAAAATTAACTCATCAAATCAAACTGGAACAAAGATAGGAATGTAAAAGCCAAAACTATAAAATTCTTCAAAGAAAACATAGGAGTAAATTTTCATGACCTCATGAAGATTCAGTCTATAACAATTATGAACCGTGAAAGCAATATACTAAAGAATCCAGGAACAAAACACAACATAATTTTACAATATTAATAAAATAATTATAAAATATACAAACATTGGGCTGGGGATATGGCTCAAGCAGTAGCGTGCTCACCTGGCATGTGCAGGGCACTGAGTTCGATCCTCAGTACCTCATAAAAAATAAAATAAAATAAAGATGTTGTGTCCACCGAAAACTAAAAATAAATACGAGAAAATTCTCTCTCTCTCTCTCTCTCTCTCTCTCTCCCTCTCCCTCTCCCTCTCTCTTAAAAAACTATACAAACATAAACACAGAAAAACATATCAGTAGTTGTTTAGGATCTGAGGTTGGGATGGGGAATAATAGCTACTGGGCCTGAAGCTTCTTTTAAATATTTTAAAGTCATATTGTAATGATTATAAATATACTTAAAATATTGAATTGCATAATGTGTGAATTACACCTTAGTAAAGCTTTTCTTAAAAATGAAATATAGAGAGTATTTATATCAGGTTTTAGATTAAGGATATTTTTCTGGAATAAGAGAGGCATTTCAAAATAATAAAGGGAGTTCATCAAGGAAATTTAATCCTAAATGTGAATGTATCCAGAAACAGAACTTTAACAGTCTATGGGAAACTGAATCCTAAGTGAACTTGGAAGCATGATTCTGTTCTCAACTGAGACTTCATATGAAACTACAGCTCCAGCTGACAGGTTGACTGCAACCTGATGAGAGACTTTGAAACACTGGCACCTAGCTAAGCCAAGCTGGATTCTTGACCCACAAATACTGTAATAATAAAGTTTGGGTTTCTTTAAATTTTTTTTGATGGACCTTTACTTTGTTCGTTTATTTATATGTGATGCTTCACACATGCCAGGCAAGCGCTCTACCACTGAGCCACAATCCCAGCTCCACAAGTTTTGTTATTTTTAAGCCACTAAATTCTGGAAGTAATTTGGGTTTATCTCAGGAAAGCAACATTGGGTTATCATCTAAACATTAATAAATGTAATTCAAACCATTAACAGAAAAGAGGAGAAAAACCACATGATCTACTCAATATATACAGAAAAAGTAAATGATTCAAAAACCAATGAACTACCTCCCTCTTAGCAAACCTGGATTAGAAAGGAATTTCATCTACCTGATAAAGAGCATTTACCAAAAAACCTATACCTAAGACATTTTGATGGTAAAAATCTGAATATGTTTCCATAAGATCATAAATAAGACAAAAATGTCCTCTCTCACTGCTACTATTCATTCAACATTACTGGCAATCCTATCCAGTGCCAATAAAGCAACATAAGAAACAAAAGATCCAGATAGGAAAAGGAAAATAAAAAAGGTTTATATTGTGTACATATATAAAAAATCCTAAGGAATCTTTAAAAAAGGCTGTTGTAGGATCAAAATGTCAAAAGTATGTTTGTATATACTATCAATGAAAATGAAAACTGTTATTTTCAAGATATTTGTAAAATTAATGAAAACTACAAAACATTGTTGAGAGGCATTAAAGAAAGTCAAAATAAATTAAAATATATACTATGGCTGTGTATTGAAAGATTCAATTTTAAGATGGCAATTCTTCCCAAATTTGATTAAAAAATTCAAAGCAATTCTAACTAAAATCTAGCTAGCCTCTTTAGAAATCAACAGGTTATTTTAAAATTTCTATGAAAATGCGAAAAACCTCAAACAGTCAAAATAACTTTGAAAAAGAACACAGTTGGAAAATTTATATAATGTGATTTTAAAACTTACCTTTAAACTACAGAAATCAAGACTCTGGTACTATAATAAAAATAAATATATAGTAGAATGAATTAGACATAACTTTCCTATGTTCATACATGAATATATGATCAGTGTAACTCTACATTATGTACAACCACAGAATGGGAAGTTATATTCCCTGTATATATTATATGTCAAAATACATTCTATTGTCATGTATAACTAAAAAGAACAACAACAAAAAAGCTCAAACTGCAGGGGAGGATGACAAGCTGAATGTTTTCACAGAAGAAGAAACTGGGACTGTTTTCTTATAGCTTTAGACTGAAGCAACTGCAGTTATAGTTGTTCCTCCATATCTGTGGGGCATACATTCCAAGATATTCCTCAGATGCAGAAACTGCAGATAACGCTGAATCCCACAGACATTTTCCCCCATACTAATAATAAAGTTTAATTTATAAATTAGGCACAGTAAGGGATTAACAATAACAAATAATAATAAAATGGAATGATTGTCAAAATATACATATAGATCAATGGAAAAGAATAGACTAAGAAATAGACAAGAAACACAAATACAGACAGTGATTTTCAACAAACATGCCAAGATAGTTTAACAGGGAAAATATAATATTTTCAATAAACAACGATGGGATAGCTAGATATGCATATGGAAAAAACAACAACAAAAAAAAAATCAAACCATGTTCCATATCCTATTCCACATGAAAAAGTTAATTTGTGATTGATCATAGACCTAAATGTAAAAACCATAACTATAAAACCTTTAGAAGAAAACGTAGAAGCAAATATTTATGATCACAGGGTAGGAAAATATTTCTTAGGACACAAAAAGCATGACTCTGCAAGAAAAAAATTGATAAGGTAAAATTCATTATAATTTAAAATGTTTGCTCCTTAAAATGCATCATTGCAAAAATGAAGAGTCCAAGTCACAAGCTAGAAGAAAATACTTGCAAAATATATTTCAGATTATAAAACTTTACCCAGCATATATAAAGAACCTTTAAAACTCAACAATAAGAATTATTATAATACCACCCAATAATATAGAGCCATTATAGTTCAACAATAACATTTTTTAAATCCAATTTAAAATGTGGAAACTATCAGAACACATTAATTTTAAAAAGATACACAGATGAAAAATAACACATTAAAGATACTCAACACCCTCAGTCATCAGAAAAATGATAATTACAACCACAATGAGATTCCAATGTGCACATAACAAAATGACTAAAATTAAAAAGACTGACAAAGATTGGAAAGGATGTGACAGAACTGGAACTCTGTGGTAAGACTGTAATTGGTATAATTGCTTTGAAAAAAAAAAACAAACTAGCAGTTCCTTCAAAAGTTAAAGATACAATACCCATACCATTCAGCAATCCAAATCCCAGAAGAGAACTGAAAACATTATGTTCACACAAAGACTTACACACAAAAAACAGTAGTAACTTTATTCATAATAACCAAAAACTTGGAAATGACCCAAATGTTCATCAAAAGATGAATAACTAAACAAATCATATATCCATAAGAGTGAAATACTACTCAAAAACAAGGATACAGGTAACACAGAAAAATTTCAAAAAAATATGTTAATAAAAGCAACCAGTCTCAAAAAAGTATGTACATACCATTCTATTTATGTGAAACTTTAGAAAAGAAAGATATAAAGTAAAAGCTGTTGCCTGAGGTCTGCATGGAAAAAACTGACCAGGATAGAGCACAAGAAAACTTTCTGAAGTAGTGAAAATGTTATATATCTTGGTTCTGGTAATGGTTACATGGGTGTGTAAATTTCCCATTATTCATGTAACTGTACAATTAAAATAAATAAATTTTATTGTATGGAAACTTAACCTCAATAAAGTTGATTTTTAAAAAGTTATTCACTCTTGAAATTAATGAAGGATAGAAAAGGGAATGAATTGATGAATAAATGTGTGGGTAAGCAAATACAGTAAAATGCTAAAATCTAGGTGGTATTCCTTATAAAATGCCTTCAACTTTTCTAAATGTTTAAAATTTTCTTATTCTAAAATATTATAATAATTAAAATTTATAAATTGTACATTAAAAATAGAGGGCTGGGGGCCAGGGGTTGTAGCTCAGTGGCAAAGTGCTTGCCTAGCATGTATGAGGCACTGGGTTCGATTCTCAGCATCACATATAAATAAATAAAATATAGGTCCATCAACAACTGAAAAAAAAAAGTGGCAGAATGCTTGCCTGGCATATAGAAGGCTCCAGGTTCAATCCCTAGTACCACAAACAAAAAAAAAAAAAAGAAAAAATACAAGCTAAACAGTCAGTAGAGAGAAGATGAAGAAATAAGAAAAATAAGCTCAGTTTTAACCAACAGAATAAGGTCCATTGAGGAGATAGGAATCTTTTCTATGCAGTTGTTTTTCCCCCATTGCTGCTAGAGTTCCTAAAGCTCAAATCCAAGTACATTACTTCCATGGCTAAAAACTTTCAGAACAAAGTCCAAAGTCTTGATCAAGAGTTTCCCAGGGGCTGGGGTTGTGGCTCAGTGGTAGAGCACTTACCTAGCACATGTGAGGCGCTGGGTTCTATCCTCAGCACCACATAAAAATAAATAAATAAAATAAAGGTATTGTGTTCAACTAAAAAAAAATTGAAAAGAAAAAAGAATTTCCCATGTGACTCCAACCTACATTTCCAACCTCATCATATTCTAAATCTGCCACATACAGTATTCCTGTTGCCCATTCTTTCATTATTTTTATTTATTTGACGTTCTTTAAAAACCTTTGAACACTTTAGGTCTTTGTTCATGCTTTACCCTCTTCCTTCTGCATCTAACATCTACTTCAAAGCTTAGCTCACTTTTCATTTCTTTTATGAATCCTTCAATTTTCCAAAGCAAAAGCAATCATTCCTTCTTCTGTATTTCTACCATACTTTGACCATCTCTTCCTTCCAGTATTTATCTTATGTCATACTAGTTCTTTCTATATCAGGATTTCAAGCCAGATTTAAGCTCCTGAAGAAAGTATTTATGTATTATTTATTTCTGAATCACCAAAATCTTAGGAGGTATCTGAATATGATAGGGATTTTTTTTGTTAAAATAATGAATGAGTAAATGAGTAACTAAGAAAAAAAACACTAACCAATTAGTTTATTAAAATGGTGTTTAAAATAAAAATTCTATTTAACTTAATTAAAACATCTAGACCTAGAATAATTTAAAGAGAAATTCAAAAAGCATCAACAAAAAACAGAATTACTACTTACCTCTGTGTATTCATCAAAAGTATGATCTTCTGCCTGAAAATTCTGTATCACCTTAACTGCAATACCATCAAGGAGCCAATTATATTTTTCAACTGAAAATTAATAAGCCAATTAAAATCTTGATAATACTCTTTTAAAAAGGTAAAGTGCTTCTTTATATGATCATAAAATAGGGTAGACTACTCATATACTATTATTAATATACTATGCGTATACATAGATTTCTGAATTTAAAAGAATGGATAGAATAAAATAAAAGACTTAATAAGCAAATGAAGTTAAGTATATTTTTTAATAAGGGCAACAGAGTATTTGAGGCTTTTAAAATAACTTAGTGATATAAATGATACCAGTAAATAATAGACTGCCAAACGACAATTATCTATCTGACCTCAAACAAACTTAGGGAGACTACACACCAATAAAATTTTCCCCCAGGCTTTTTAAAACTGTTTTCAAGAATTACCTTGGTTTTACCCTTGATTTAGCTTCCTCCTTATTTAAATAAAGGCATTTTGTCTATCTGTAACTAAAAAAAAATTTTTTTAAATGGAGGGGCTGGGGTTGTGGCTCAGTAGTAGAGCGCTTGCCTCATATGCATGGAGCACTGGGTTCTCTTCTTCTGTTAACATTCATCATTTATACCAGGCAATAAAATTCAAATTTGGGAGGTTTGATCCTTGACTCTTGTCAAAAGCAGTAACTATGCTCAGTTCTGGCTCTTCCTTAACAACCCTGGATAACCAAATATCCAATCAAATTGTAGTTAAAATGAAGACACATAATATTAAATATTTTAAATATACCATATGTCTCATGATGTTTCCTTGCACCTTGTAAGTTCTGATGTATTGCCACCTTCAGCGTATTAAGAGCCCACTGTAACACATGTTCAGGAAGTTCTGTGTCAAGATTTACAGGTGTTGAAGTTCCTGATAGCCAAGAGGGTACTGTTTGGATATTCTAATACAAATACAAATTAAAACATATGTACTAATTATATGTACAATTGATCCATATGGAGATTTTATTCTATATTTTTAAAAATTCTGATTTCCATGGTCCAAGGAAAAATAACTCAATGCAAAGTAATAATTTAAAAGTGACAATAGCATGCAATCCAATATAAAAACTTAAGTTGGGTTAGTTTTACATCATTCCACAAATATTTATTTATTATAATGTCAATGTGATTACATAGACAGCTCTAGAAAGTAGATCTTGTTCTTAAGAAGTTCACAATGCTGTCAGGTATGGCAGCACACACCTGTAATTCTAGGGATTTGGGAGGCTGAGGCATGAGGACTGCAAGTTCGAAGTCAGCCTCAGCAACTTATCAAGGTCCTGTCTCAAAATAAAAAGGGTTTGGGATGTAGTCCAGTGGTAAAATGCTCCTGAGTTAAATTCCCAGGGCCAAAAAAAAACAAAAAACAAAAACTCACTATTCAGTAGGGGAAATGAGACATGCACAAAAATTCAGTTCATAACTATAAGAAAAAACTCAAACAAGGATAATGTCCGTTTCAACCAGGAGACATTTTCAAAGAGAAAGCACTTTCTAATTTAAAATAACTTGTGGGGGTATGGGGTTGTAGCTCAGTGGTAGAGCACTTGCCTAGCACATGTGAGGCACAGGATTCAATCCTTAGCACCATATAAAAATAAATAAATAAGAAAAAGGCATTGAGTCCATCTACAGCTAAAAATATTAAAAAATAAAATAATTAAGGGAAGAAAATAAAACAAAGTTAAAGCACTTTATGCATATAAACACTTCATAAAGATTCAACTCAAATAATTTAAAATTCCTAAATAGAGCTATATAAAGAAACCTGATAGGTAAGGATGATGTAATACCTGCAGAGTTTCAGCTATTCGTTCTACCACACTCAGAACAACATCTTCCAAATCTTGAAAGGTAGGATAAAACTCCATTTTATCCTCATCAAATGTCAATTCCATCTTAAATATTGGCAATCTTTGTTGATTTTCTGAGTCAAACAGTTCTACAAATGCTTTTACAGTCCTTACTAAGAGATCCTTTAGCTGCATGATATTATAAATTACTATTAATTTAGAAAGTACAAAAATCAATCTTTAATTAAAATCATTAAATTCTTTTACATAATTAAATCACTATAATGTATAAGTCTTGGAATTACCATTCAGCAAATATATTTTTAATAAATAGTCTAAGATAATAAACAGAACAATATATGCAAACCACATTTTTCTTTACATATTTTTAGTTGTCAATGGACCTTTATTTTTTTTTACTTATTTATATGTGATGCTGAGGTTCGAACCAGTCCCTTACAAATACAAGGCAAGCACTCTGCCACTGAGCTACAGTCCCAGCCCTGCAAACCATACTTTTAAATAGAATATCAACAATCTGAAAATGGCAACAGAGAATTTTCCAGATTCTTTAGTAAGTCTGTCCCTGGCACATAAAACATTCCAGAATATCAAATAACATGGTAAATACTGGGCATAAGGCAGGACTGACCCTTAAAGGTGAGTGTTGTAACAGCATGGCATGCACATGAGAAGTGGTGTGCTAGAGCTCCTGTTTTTACAAAAGCCAATTATTAAATATTCAAGAATCATGGGAGCCAGTTATTAAACACTAAGAAACTAGAGATTATGGTGAGAATATTTACACCACAGAAATCATCAAACACCAGAACTTAGGTGGTTATTTTCTCTGGAGAGCCAGATGTCTAGCACACTCGTTAGGTGAAGTTGAAGCCACTGGAACTTGGTATTTTTTAATTTTTTTTTTGGAACTTGGTATTTACACAATATATTTCTAAGTATAAAAAAATTCAATCTTATAGAGAACCAACTGTTGGAAATGTAGCCCAACAGACAAATATAAATTGAAATGATCTTCAAAATGTGCATTTCTTTACTGTTCACCAAATAATTAGTCCCTTTAAGAGAGTAAAGGTGGAAAGGAAACCATATATATTAGTTACAGTAATACATACAAATATTAAACATATATATTATCCTCTTAAAGAAACAATACAAAATTCGTAGAATCTTTGGATATCTTTACCAAAAGAGAAAGTTTTTAATCAAAACTGTTTTTCTAGGATTGTTATGTTTACAGTCATAAAAATTTGAGGAGCCTATAAACATAATTGTTTGAAGTTAATGTTCTCTGTCATTCAAAGATGATAAATAGCTGAGTTCAGTAGCACATGCATGTAATCCCAGTAACTCAGGAGGCTGAGACAGGAGAATCACAAGTTCCAGGCCAGCATCAGCAACATAGTGAGACCCTCTCTCAAAGTAAAAAAATAAAAAGAGCTGAGGAGGTAGGCTTAGTCGTTAAGCACCCTGGTTCAATCCCCAGATGGCGGGAAGAAAAGGAGGGGTGGTGATCAATAATCAATAACATTTTGAACCAAGACTCGATGAGAACAAAATGAGAAAAAACTCAATCAACTTGGAATTTAATAACTTCGAAAATGTATTACTAGAATAGTCCTTTTCTTAACATACTCCTAGAGATGATTAGCTTTCATCCTTTAAGAATGAGCCAAGTTAATCACTCATAATATTGGCACATACTTCTAGACTTTCCTCATTTTTTATTAAGTTACTTATTTTTTACAATTCTAGGGATGGAAGCCAGGGTCTCACACTTACTAGCAAGCATTCTACCACTGAACTATATCCCCAGTCATCTCTCATTTTAGATTGCCTCAAAATTTATTTTTTGATAAATATAAACAAAATTACAATAAAAATATTTTCTTAATTTATTTCAAAATAATTACTCAGCACTGTTAACAGAATGTTATCTAAAATACTGAATAATTTTAACAATGCTATCATTTAAGATACATAAAATGTATTTACCTGATTTGTCATAAGTGTGGAAACACAACTATAAAATGCATCCAATTTTTCAGGCTTAATGCCTTCTAGTGACTCCTTTTTGGTAAAGAGACTTATAACCTGTGGATACCATGTGTTCATTATCTTCTCTTCTGCCTTTTTAGCTTGAATGGACAGATCAGTTTTTAGTGATTCACAATCAATTGGGCCTTTAGCTCTATTTTTGAGGGAAAAAAATATCTATTTTGAAGCAAAAGACATTGGTTTTCATACACAATTATTGATGACAATTGTTTTTAGTTCTAAAATCTAAAGAAATGTTTTGAAGATTTATGAGTCAGTTTAAAAATTATACAGTCAAAATGTCAAGCAAGGAGACATTTAGAATGATAATTAATAAATATAGGATTTTACCTAATTCCTGTTACATCCAGCAAAACTATATTAGCAAATGTTGTATAACCAAGGTCCAGTAATATTTTCATAGTTGGATGAACAATGTGCAAATCAGATGCTATTTGATTTCTTGCCTGCACATAGTTGTAATGCCAAGGATTGGAATAATCTAGTCCTCTAAAAAGCAAAACACCATGTCAAATATGATTAAAACAATATACCCTAGTGCTTCACAACAGTAGACGTGAATGTAAAATCAGTTCATTTTCAAACAGTGTAAAAAAAAACTAGATGTAATACTACTTTTAAAAATATTTTACTATGTCCATGCATGAATATATGAATAAATAAATTCTGACATGTGCACAAAAAATAGGAAAATAGATAAAGTAAATGATTTACTCACAGAGGGGATTCAGGTAAAGGGCCTCCTTCATCTTCAAGCCATTTAACTGGTGGTTTCACAAGAACACTCTGTACTAAAATATATGTTTGTATTAATATTTCTTGAAATCCTTGCAAGACCTGTTCATATCAAAATCTCTGATTTGGGTTACAGGATGGTAGTTTACTATGAATTAAAATGAGCATAAGAAAAAAAACTTTATTTAGAACAAAATCAAGCTCTTTGGCGGGGGGTGGGGGGGTGGGGGTGGGGGTGGTACCAGGGATTGAACTCAGGGGCACTCAACCACTGAGTCATATCCCCAGCCCTATTTTGTATTTTATTTAGAGACAGGGTCTCACTGAGCTGCTTAGTGCCTCGCTTTTTCTGAGGCTGGCTTTGAACTCTCCATCCTTCTTTCTCAGCCTCCCAAGCCACTGGGATTACAGGCATTCACCATCAAATTCAGCAAAATCAAGCTCTTAATACTATTTTAGCCATAGTATGGAGGTAAATTCAGTTATAGGAAAACTCTTAATTCTCAGTTCTTTGTGTTGTCTACTCAAAGGTCCCTGATATGGCCACTTAAGAAAACTTATGGCATGGTACTTAATAGGGCTGGAGGGAAAAGGGGCTGGGGAGATGATGGTTCAAAGATATAATATTTCAGTTTTATAGGAGGAATAAATTCAAGAGATCTATTGTACAATATGGTGACTATAGTGAATGACATGTATTGCACTCTTGAAAACTGCTAACAAAGTAGATTTTAAGTATTCTTACCATACACACAAAAAAATAAAATCATGAGAGGGCTGGGTTGTGGCTCAGTGGTAGAACGCTCGCCTAGCATGTGGAGGCCCTGGGTTCAATACTCAGCACCACATAAAAATAAAATAAAATAAAGGTACTGTGTCCAACTACAACTAAAAATTAAATATTAAAAAAATCATGAGTACATGAGGCAATACATATGTTAATCAGCTCAATTTAGCCATTATTCAATGTATACATATTTCAAAACATGTTGTACATGATAAAATATACAATTTTTTTTCAATTAAGAAAAAAATATTCCAGGGCTGAGGTGGTAACACAGTGGTAACAATGCCTATATAGCACCTGTGAGGCACTGGATTTGATCCTCAGCACTACATAAAACTAAATAAATAAATGAAACAATGGTATTGTGTCCATCTATAACAAAAATATTTTTTAAAAAGAAAAATATTCCAATAACAATCATAACGATTAAATTCCTAATAAATCTGCCAAATACATTAATATGTTCTGAAAACCCTGTATACAGGAAAGTTAAAATCAAAAAGGCAAAGTTAAAAAATCAAAACTCTACAAGGATTAGCTAATAAACACAAAAATTACAAAAAGTGCCCTTAAAGCTACAAAGATTTTGACTATATTATGGGCACAAAATAAAACTTTCAGGGCTGGGGTTGTGAATCAGTGGTGGAGTACTTGCCTAGCACATTTGAGGCACTGGGTTTGAGCCTCAGCATGACATAAAAATAAATAAATAAAGTAAAGATATTGTGTCCATCAACAACTAGAAAAATTTAAAAATTAAAAAACTTTAAGAAAAATTCATATTTGAAATTGATAATAGTTTAAATATATAGTGTTCCCTATTTATTTTGCTTCTACTTTTGGTTCAACACCAGAAGCAAAGGCAAAAGAAGCTTGATGTGTTACTTACCTAAATATCTCTTCATGCTTTTTTCAAAGTCACTTGACACCTCATCTATGAGACTTTCAAGCAGTTCTTCTCTTTTTTTCCCTTCCTTTAAAGACTCAGGTATCAGCATTAACATGTTATCCAGCCATTCCTGCTGAATAGGTACTATAGGACTACTTTTTACACAGTGCTTCATAAACATGTAGTTGAACTGAAAACGTAATAAGAAATATTAAATGTTCTTCATGGTGTGACATTTCAGTATAATTCCTGAGCTCAAGCCTACTAAAACATGTTTTTCAGAATAAAAATATTCGTAGCCATGCAAGGTGGCATATATCTATAATCCCAGCTGCTTGGGAGGCTAAGGAAGGAGGATTACAAATTCAAGAATAACGCAGCAATTTAGCCAGACTCTGTCTCAAAATTAAAATGAAAAGGGCTGGAGCTGTAGCACAGTGGCAGAGCACTTTCAAGAGCTTTAGTTTAATTGCCAGTACTGAAAAAAAAAATTGTCAACAATAACATGTTTTCAGAATAAAAACCATTTTAAAAAAAAAAAAAGCGTCACAAACATTTTATCTTTTTTTTTGATGAGCTCTTGTCAAATTAATGTTCTTACTACATCCTTCATTTTCTCAAGCTAAAAAGAAGCTCCTTTAACTAATTTATTATTACTTAATTCAACAAATACTCAAACACTGTTGTGACTACTGAGCTATGTATTAAACATAATGACTAATTAGAACAAATTAAAAAATTTTAAAGTATTAAACATAATTATTAAAAATGTGGAAAAAACATAACAGTAGCCTATGCTCTCTTGAATGTTATATTCTGATATAAGAGTAGTATAGTCTAATTTCACAAATTCTTCCATAAGAATGAGGAGTCTAACAAAAAATATTCATAAATAAATGGAAGACAACATTTAATCTCAGTAAAGGCATTTAATGTCCTAAAAAAATATCAATTTTGTGTTCCAAAGTTAACACAATCCAATAAAAATATCTATACACATTTTAATAAAACTAGATAACTTGATCATAAAGTTCTTGTGGGAAAATAAACATATAAGAATAGCCAAGAAAACTCTAGGAAATAAGATCTACCATGGAGGACTGGCCCTGGGAGACATCAAAACATACTATAAGGCCTATGTGATTAGAACAATAAGATAAAGGTATATGAGCAGACAGGCCAGTGGAAAAGAATACAAAGTCCAGAAACAGAACAGTATATCAGAAAATTTAACATAAAATTATCACTGCATCTCAAAGCAGTGGGGCAAAGATCAAGGTTTGAATAAATAGTCCTGGGACAAATGGTTAGTCATTTGGAAAAAGATAAATTAGTCCATACCTTCTACCATACACAAGAATAAACTTCAAACAGATCAGAAATTTAAATTCTACATTGAAACTACACAAGAAGAAGAAGAAAAAAAAAAAACATGAATCAAGGGGCTAGGTTTATACTTCAGTATAGAGTGCTTTGCCTAGCACATGTGAGGCACTGGGTTCGATCCTTTACACCACATATAAATAAAATAAATGTTCCGTGTCCATCTACAACTAAAAACATTTTGAAAAAAAAATCAAGTTTATAGCTCAAGCATAGGGAAAAACTTCTCAAGTATGATTCAAATTTCAGATACAATCAAGAAAAAAAGTGATAAATTTTGCCATATGAACCCAATGCTTCATGCACTCCCAGCAAACACTCTACTATGGAGCCACATCCCCAGCTTTGTGATAGATAAATTTTGACTATATAAAAACATTTGCAAGGGCTGGGTGCAGTGGGGCATGCCTGTAATTCCAGCAGCTTGGAAGGCTGACAGGAGGATAACGAGTTTAAAGCCAGGCTCAGCAATAGCGAGGCGCTAAGCAACTCAGTGAGACCCTGTCTCTAAATAAAATACAAAATAGAGCTGGAGATGTAGCTCAGTGGTTGTGTGCCCCTGAGTTCAATCCCTGGTACAATAAAATAAAAATAAAAACAGTATGCAAGGCAAAAATGTCAATTAAAAAGTCAAAAATACTGGCACTCCAGGAAAAAATATTTGCAAGATACACCTCAGATAAAGTACAACAAATTCTTGGAAAATTTAGGATATGGGTGAATCTTGAAGACAGTGTTTTAAGTGAATCAAGATAATAATGAAAAGACAAATACACGGTAGGGAATATAGTTCAGTGGTAGAGCACACGCTTATTAATATCAGCAATCACCAAAAATATAGACAAATATTGTATAATTCCACTTATATGAAGCATCTAAAGTTATTAAATTCATAGAAAAAAAGAAGGGTAATAACAAGAAGCTGAGGAGAGGATGAAATGGAAGGTTATTATTTAATAATATATTGAGTTTGGGTTTTACAAGATGAAAATGTTCTGGAGATTGGTTGCATAACAAGGTAAAAAGGCTTAATACTACTGAACTATATTCTTAAAACGGTTAACACGGTAAATTTTGTGTTATGTGTATTTTACCACAATTCATAAAGGGACAATAAGTCCAAACTCACAATTAAAATGGGTAAAACAGGGGCTGGGGTTGTGGCTCAGAGGTAGAGTGTTCGCCTACTATTCGAGACCGGGTTCTATCCTCAACACCACATAAAAATAAAATAAAGATATTGTGTCCACCTATAACTAAAAAATAAATATTTTTTTAAAAATGGGTAAAACATATGTACCAACATTTCAAATATTTTAAAGATGGAATCATCTAGCCAAATACATAGTAATAGAGGAAGGGTTCCTGGGCATGATGACTGAGCTGGATTAGGGACAACCAGAAAGCACAGATGGAAAGAGAACATGTTGGGCAAAAGTAGCAGGTAAGAAATGTCCTGTTTCCTCAAGCAAGTCCATGATGGTGGAGTATAAAGTATAATATAGAGAGTGATGAGAAGAGGTTGGCAAATAGGTAAGGGTCACATTATGAAAGGCCTTGCCTGCCACATTAAGCTTTAATTTTCTAGATTGTGGTAAGCTACTGATGGTTGCTGTAGTTAAAACAAAAAATGAAATTCTGATCTAAGGATAGAACATGAATAGGATCAATTTGAGAAATAGTCACAGCCATGTGGGGACAAATTACATGGCAAGTGGGTAGTTGAAAGGGAAAAGAAGTGAATACTCAGACATTTTAAGCATGAGTGATTGATAGTGATAATAACAACTAGAACAATCTCAGGAAGGAAGGTTCATTTTTCAACATATTGAATTTGAGGTATTTTTACATAAAATCATTTTGGAATCAGCAACATATAAAAGGTAGTTAAAACCAGAAATTGAATCATCCAGGAAGATTCACAGAAAGAGAACAGCAGCTATAGGCAGACAAGGAAGAGGAAACCATGAAGATGACAGAGAAATAACAAGAGTCAGAAAAGCAAATACAAGGGAATATTCAAAAAGAAAGAAATCAGCTGGAGCCAGGCACATGCTTTTAATCCCAGCAACTGAGGAGGCTGAAGCAGGAGGATCAAGAATTCAAGGCTAGCTTCAGCAATTTAGCAAGACTAAGACTATTTGAGACTCTGGCTCAAAACAAAAAATAAAAAGGACTGAGTTGTAATTCAGTTCTAAAGTGTCCCTGGGTGGGCTGGGGTTGTGGCTCAATGGTAGAGTGTTTGCCTAGCATGTGTGAGGCACTGGGTTCCATTCTTAGCACCACACATAAATAAAGGAATAAAATAAAGGCCCATTGACAACTAAAAAAAAATTAAAATAAAAAAATGCTCCTGGGTTCAATCCCCAGTAAAAGCAGCAGCAGCAGCAGCAGCAGCAGTAATAGTCATAAACTGGAATTGTCTCTATTTTATTTCAGCTATTCTAATAGGTATGTAGGAAAAATTCATCATGGTTTTAAATTATATTAACCTAATGGTTAATGATACTGATTTATCTTTGATGTGCTTATTTGCCCCCAATACATCCTCTATGGTGAAATGTCTTACCCAGTTCTCTATTAGTTGGTTTATTTTTATACTTTTGAATTTTAGGAGTTCTTAATATATTCCAGATTCTAGTTCTTTTGGATATGGGAGTATTTTCTCCCTGTGAGTGACTTGTTTTTCATCCTCTTAATGGTCTTTTGCTGAGCAAGAGTTTTCAATTTTGATAAACTCTTATTGGAGTTTTTTATGGATTATGCTTTTGAGGTCATACACAAGAACTCTTTGCCTAGTCTTGACATTTTTTGTCTAAAGTTTTATAATTTTATGTTTCTCCTATGTTTTCTTCTCAAAGGTTTTTTTTTCCTGATATTAGGGATTGAACCAGGGTCTCAGATATGGTAGGTAATTGTTCTACCACTAAACTATATCCCTAGATGTCAAAAGTATTTTTATAGACTTTATTTTAAACTGGTACCAGGGATTGAACCCAAAGGTGCTCAACCACTAAACCACATCTCCAGCCCCTTTATTTTTTAAGACATGGATTTTACTAAATTACTTAGGGCCTTGCTAAGTTGCTGAGGCTGGCTTTGAACTTGTGATCCTCCTGCCTTAGCCTCCCACACCACTGGGATTATGGGCATGCCCCACCACAACTGGTTGTGTGCATGTGTGTCTATGTGCTTATGTGTGGTACTGAGAATCAAAGGCACTGGGGAATCAAAGCCAGGGCTTTATGTATGCTATGCAAGCACTCTACCACTGAATTACAGCCCCAGACCCTATATTTTACCTTTTATATTTAAACCTATGATCAATTTTTTATTAATCTTTGTATAAGGTATGAGGTTTAGATTAAGGTTTTGTTTTGTTTTTATCGATGTCCAATTACTCCACCCCATTTGTTGAAAAAGTTATTCTTCCTCCATTGAATTATTTTTGTCAAAAATCAGTTGGAGGGGCTGGGGTTGTGGCTCAGTGGTAGAGTGCTCACCTCGCATGCATGAGGTACTGGGTTCTATCTTCACACCACATAAATGAAAAATAAAGATATTGTGTTCACCTAAAACTAAAAAATAAATATTAAAAAAAAGAATGCTAAATATATACACAAATACACCTTACAATTCACCCAACCTCATGTTTGGGGGTTATGGTGTACATTCCAGTTCTTATATCTTGTAAAGAGGTACATCTAAAGTCTCCAGAAAAGTTTAGAGACAGGGGAAGAAAGGGGAAGGGCATTTAAAGAACAAAGCCTTGACTAACTGAAAAAAGAAAGGTTCTTCCATATATCCTCAACCCATAGGAAGGTATTCTCAGCCCTCTATCCTCAAAGAAAAGAAAACCTTCCAGGACTTATAAGGCTTATAGCCCCATCTGGGAACATGCAGTATAATTTCCTCTTATACATAACCAATTCCAAAAGTCTCTGTATCCTTCCTATTAAATAATATTTACATGCTATCATATTTCTGCTAATCACTTTGCAGTCCCACATCATCATCCATGCAGTCAGAGTCATTTTTTTAAAGAATCTCTAGCACCTAGTATGTATCTAGCATATATTAGATTCTTAATGAGGTATCTGTTGTTTGGATAAATAGCCATCATTATATCAATATCAGTATAATCAATTATAGCCTTAATTTTAAAATGAAGATGTATTTCCTTTAAAATTGCCACTCAGAATATTTTTTAAATTGTTTGGAATAAGAACTATTATTTACACAACTAACCCTCAAATAATAAATGACAACAAAGCGTAACTCTTAAACCCCATATTGTCACTGGGCACCGTGGCACATGCCTATAATCCCAGCAACTCGGGAGGCTGAGGCAGGAGTATCCAGCATTCAAAGCCAGTCTCAGCAAAAGTGAGGCACTATGCAACTCAGTGAGACCCTCTCTCTAAAATACAAAATAGGGCTGGAGATGTGACTCAGTAGTTGAGTGCCCCTGAATTCAATCCCTGGTACCCCCACCCCAGAAAAACCCCGTATTATCCATGACATGCTTGTTTCCTTGGGCAGGAAAAAAAACCAAAAACCTCAGTTTCTAAATTTCTTTCTTTCCTAGGATGAGGCATAACAAGGGGTCTTAGAAAAATCACTTTGAATTAATTTATTTGAACATTTTCAAAACAAGAAATAAAAAATTGAACTCACTCCTTTTCTTTTAATTTCACTGGTCATCTGTAAAAAACAAATAAGATAATTAAGAAGAAAATTTTTAAAAATCGAAAATATTTTAAATGTATCTATTATTTAAAATTATTCATATTGAGATTAAAATAATTAATATAGTATAAGGATAAGTATTTTTAAAAGAAAATAACTTACAGTTGGAGGATAATCAACTTCTGGTAATGGTGGTATTCGTTTATCCAATGTTCTGTCTAGATTTTTTTTGGCTCCATCAATTCTGAAATTTATAATTAGAAAAACATATAACTCTAGAAGCTAACATTAGCATAAATTATTAAAAACACTGAAAGTCTAACATTTTTTCAATTCCACTAAAAGAAAAGATATTCAAAAACTCTTTATCTGACTAAATTTTCTATGAAAAAATTATCAATGAGTCCTAAAATTTTATGTTGTTCAAGTATAAGGTAAAAGGGTGAGAGTAAAAATAAAATCAACTTTTTCAATTGTAACTTACTGACAATTTGAAAATTAGTCCCAATGCAGAGGGAATCATCTCTGTTCAAATTAATACTGTCAGAGAAGGCTTCCCTTATCTACTATATAAATAAGTACCTCTCTCTTTCACTATCTGTCTTCATTTATCTTTCTTCATAGCACTTACCAACATTTAATATATACTGTAGACTTTTTTATTCATTGCCATTATCCCCAATAAGAACAGTATCTGGCACACATTATGTACTCAGTTTTACCTTAAAAACTGTGTATGGATTTTTATCATATATAAAATATAATTTCCTCTTTAAATTAATTTGTACCATATTGGATAAAAAAAATTCATCTTACAACAAATATTAATACATGCAAATGGTATACTAGGTACTATTAAAATATAGCAGCAATAAATCTCTAGGAATTTATAAACTGAGTGAGAAAATAAGAGAGTGCCAGGCTGGGGATGTGGCCCAAGCGGCAGCACACTCGCCTGGCATGCGTGCGGCCGGGGTTCGATCCTCAGCACCACATACAAAGATGTTGTGTCTGCCGAAAACCAAAAAAATAAATATTAAAATTCTCTCTCTCTCTAAAAAAAAAAAAAAAAGAGAGTGCCATAAGGGCACTCTGGTGGTTCAGAAGAAAGATGAGTTTGTTCCACCTGATGAACATATCAGCATTTGCAATGAGCTTTAAATTAAAGAGAAGATTTCAGGTGGAGCTGTGGTTTTACTGGGATCTGAAAAACAGGAAGGCAAAGGAAGGATCAAAGGAAAAAGGGATAAAAGGAGTTGTCCAAACTGTCCAAAGTTTACGGGATGAGATGGACTTAAGTCTGGAGAAGTGGTTTGGAATATCCACCTAATGGCCTCAAATGGCAACTTTTGCATTTAATCAACAATGGGAATGATGAAGAGCTTTTGAGCAAGGAACATTTTAAGACAAACCTAACCATTTATAAAGGCCAGATACATTTTAAAAGATGACCAAAGAAGAAGACATTCAAGGAAAAGAGACCTCAGAAAGATTGGAGGATGCCAAGTATGACAAGAATTATTAAAAAACAACAACTGAGTGGGGTACAGTGGCACACACCTGTAATCCCAGAGACTCAGGAGATGGGAGACTGAGGTGGGAGGATCTTGAGTTCAAAGCCAGCCTCAACAACTTAGTGAGGCCTTAAGCAACTTAGCAAAACCCTCTATCAAAATAAAAAGTAAAAAGGGCTGGGGATGTGGCTCAGTGGTTAAGCGCCCCTGCATTCAATCCCCAGTACAAAACAAAACAACAACTGAAGGATGAAGGAGATACCATTAGAAAGGTAAGAGAAGAACCAAAAGGAATTTCACAGTAAGTGTGGTTACGGGAACCATAGCCTGGGCATAAAGGGCCATGTCTGTTTTACTCACTATTCCAAGGTACATAAGCTCAATAAATACTTAATGAATGAACGACCAGAATAGTGGATGTGGGGAAAATATCAGATGTCTAGTTCAGTACTTTGCTTGATATGTGAACATTCTCAACAATATCAAGCTATACCCATGGTAACCCAGGGCAAGGGCTCAGTGGGGGGATGGTCAGTCATCATCACTTTCTGAGACAACCCAATTTATTATCAGTTAAATTCATTTTCTTAGAAACAAATTTCTTATATTGACTTGTGGCTTTATACGTCTATTCTCTGCAGCTATATACAAAGGGTCAGATTCTTCCATGTTACTCTTCCAAAAACTTGATAACCTGCCCAGTTCCTTCAACTACTCCTGTTAATAAGAGTTACTGTTTATAGGAGCTTATTATATCCTAGGCATTGACTTAAGACCTTTACAAGCATGGATTTCATTTAACTCTCATACCAATCCTAAGTAAGCAATATTCTTTTCTCCATATTTTTTAAAAATATTTTATTTTTTAGTTGTAGTTGGACACAATACCTTTATTTTATTTATTTATTTTTATGTGGTGCTGAGGATTGAACCCAGGGCCTTGCACATGCCAGGCAAGCGCTCTACCATTAAGCCACAACCCCAGCCCCTCTTTTCTCCTTTTATAGGTAGGTATATAAGGATAAGTAAAGTTATATAACTTGTCAAATTCACATGACTGCAGAGATGGGATATGAATCAAGGCCTGAGTGATGTGAGAGTCTATATTCTCACCAATTAAGTAAATTTTGTGGTTTCAAATTTCCTCCCTCCTCTGGTTTATCAATGTCTCTCTTAAAATGTGATCCCAGGATCCCAGATGTTGAAAAGTACAGAGTGAATTTTTCCTCTTCCCTATACTAGATATTCTACATTTATTAAAGCAGCCTAAGACTGCATTTGCTTTTTTGAGTACCCTTACCACCCCTATTGAATCTTACTGAGCCTGTACTAAACTCCTAAGACTTTTTAAAAATATATTTTAGCTTACACATAGACACAATATCTTTATTTATTTTTATGTGATGCTGAGGATCAAACCCAGTGCCTCACATGTGCAAGGCAAGCCACAACCACAGCCACATCTTAAGACTTTTTTGACATTAAGTGGAAAATACTCCTTTTTTTTTTTTTTTTGGATACTGGGGATAAAACCCAGAAGCTCTTTACTACTGAGCCACATCCCCAGTCCTTTTTATTTATTTATTTATTTTTGAGACAAGGTCTACAGTAAGTTGCTTAGGACTTCACTAAATTGCTGAGGCTGACCTTGAACTTGCCATCCTCTTTTCTCAGCCTCCTGAGTTTCTAGGATTACAGATGTGCACCACCACACCTGACCCTCCTCTTTTCTTTGTTAATCTTCAAGACCCTTCTTCATTTCTCCCTGAATAGCCTAGATTTCAGCAATTGCTACTTTCAAGGAATGTTACTTATACATTGGTATGCTAATTGGCATTTGTGTAGGCAGGCTTGCACTGTAGTTAGCCCAACATAAAGATAAATGCCAATTTCCTTGAACTTTCTATATGAAAATGCCACATCTTTTTTTTTTTAAAGAGAGAGGTGAGAGAGAGAGAGAGATAGAGAGAGAGAGAGAGAGAATTTTTGATATTTATTTTTTAGTTTTCAGCAGACACAACATCTTTGTTTGTATGTGGTGCTGAGGATCGAACCCGGGCCGCACGCATGCCAGGCGAGTGTGCTACTGCTTGAGCCACATCCCCAGCCCCAAAATGCCACATCTTAATAAAGCAACAATTTCTGGAACATGTTTTCTCCTACTGTCTATGAATAAAAAGAACTGGGAAGGACATAATAATGAGCCTTTTACTCCCTGTTTTTGCTCTGTATATTAACAATTTAAAAGTAATAAACAAAAACTGGATTTCACAGGACTGTGGATGACCACATGTGGTAAAAAAGAGAAATACTGGTTTAATTCAAGAAAGGAAGTAGTAGCTAAGGAAGAAGGCAGCTCTTTCCCAGAACTTGGGAAAGGTATGAAATGATGCTGACTCATCGATGTGGGTCTCAGGAACTGGTACCAGCAGCGGGGCCCAATTCTGCTTAGAATTCCTTACATTCTACCTCACCCTGGACTCTATTCCACAAACCTCATCCCATCTTTGAAACAAGCTTGCATTCCAATTGTCTAATTCTCCAATTGTCTAATATGAGGAAATAGAAAATCCCAAAGCTGTGGCCATCCAGAAAGACATGTTTCCAGCATTAAAACTTCCAATTCTAAATGCTTTATTCCCAAAGAAACATATGGCAATTCTAAGTCTGATATTAAATATGACATTATACTTCAGAAAATTTTGAGGCAGTATTTTTTGATTAAGCAGCCAAATAAATGTGGTACTATTTACAAATCTGTATAAAGCACAATCACATTCATTCACCAATAATAACATACCAAACACTATGTTTTGTGTTGAAATTTCTCTCCTTAAGCATGTGAGAGTTTAGTGGAAGAGAAATACTACTAGGAAAAAAACAGCAATGCTCCCTGTAATTCTCTTTTCTGTTGCTTTTCCTTCTGCTTTATCAGTCATATTTAGTTGCCCTTGCCCCACACTGCATCTAATTCCTAATACCTCAGCCCTAGGTTTTTCACTTCATATTTCCCTCAACCCTCTGCCTCTTCCTCCTTCTTCCCCCTTTGGCTCCTCCTCCCCTACCCCCATCTTAGTGATTTTCAATCATTCCCCTATCTTTAAAAATCGTCTAAATGCTGGTGATCCCCAAATTTCTATCTTCAGCCTAGACTTCTCTTACTAATACCAACTTCCTAATAACATTTTCCCTTAAATTACATAGGCAATTCAGCTCCAAAAGTGAGTTAATGTTGTTTTTTTTTTTTTTACCCCCATCTCCTGGACTTCCAATTCTCTATAAATGACACTACCATCCACCCAGCTAACGAAGCAAATCTAATAGCAAGTCCTACTGACTCTGGTTCCAAAACATAGCCTCGAAAATCTTCTCTCCCAAATTACCATATGCTCTCATCTATGCTACTGTGATAGCATCTGACCTGGCTTCTTTCCTTTTACTCTAGCCTTCTTCTCCACCACTCTGTATATTCTTAATAACTGGAATGTTTTAAATGTAAATCAGATTTCACATTCATCCCCATTTAGAATATTTCAACAGCTTCTATTACACTAAAAAGATCTGAGTTCATTATCATGGCCTATAAAACCTCATGCAATTTGCCCCACTTTCTTCTCTGTCTTCACACCACTCTTCCCCAGACTTGTGATACTCCAGTAATACAGGCATTTGTCAACTGCTGCAACAGACTAAAACATTCATATTTCAAGGTTTTTGTGGCTGCTATCACCTTTCTTAGAGTGCTTTGCTCCTGCTTATTTGAGTGACAGGTTTCTTCCCATTCTTTAGATCTTTACTTAAATATTATCTCCAGAGGCCTTTCCTGCAGTGTTCCTGGGAACACCTTCCCTGTCTGTATATCTCATTATCTTACTTCTTCATAGCATCTATCACAATCTAAAAAAGACTAACATAACTTTTTTTTCTTTACTCATTTACTGTCTCCTCCCACTAGTATACAAACTTCTTAAATGCATAGTTCCTTTTAAAAAATATTTGGGGCTGGGGATGTGGCTCAAGCAGTAGCACACTCGCCTGGCATGCGTGCGGCCCGGGTTCGATCCTCAGCACCACATACAAACAAAGATGTTGTGTCCGCCAATAACTAAAAGAAATAAATATTTAAAAATATATATATTTAGTTGTAGTTAGACATAATAACTTTATTTTAATTATTTATTTTTCTATGTGGTGCTGAGAATTGAACCCAATGCCTCACACATACTAGGCAAGCACTCTACCACTCAACACAGTTCTTCCCTTGGTGTTTTTTATGATCTCCCTAGGAGCAAACACAGCATCTGTATAATAGCAAGTACTTAATATTTCTAAACACCCCTGAATATTCTAAATTGAGGTTAGAAGAAATAAAAATAGGTGTAAGGAAGGACAAAGAAATATAATTTTAATTTAAAGTTCTGCATACCTTTTCAGCCCTGTCACTCCTAAATTTCTGGGAAATCCATAAATCTTAAAAAGTTACTCACTTATAAAAATTATCTTGTGCATTGTCAGCCCACTAATAAACAGATTAATAGAGAGATGACATTTTAAAAACCTATAATATTGGGGCTTTCCAACATTATCTAGGGACCACATCAGCCTAAGGATCCTGAGACTAGCCAGACTGATGTCACCCTTAAATACCTTCCCATACCCACCCCTCACCAACTTACCTTTAAAAGAATAGTCAAGAACACTGAAAATGCATCTCTCACTCTTAAGCTGGTTGATCCTCATTCTCCCTTGAATGTATACTACTTGCTTTCCTAAATAAATCTCTGTGCCTCTACTAACACATGCAGAAATTCTTTTCTGTCACATACATCAACAACCCCATTAATACTAAGTCAAGTCTCCCCCCTTCTGAGATCTCCTTGGTACACTTTTCCAGAGATATCTCTTCTCTGGTGATACAATGATTTAAGAGAAATATGTAGAGGGGATAAAGAAGGGATTTGGAGGCTTTCCAAAGGAGGAGATCCATAAATAAGCATTGAAGAATTAGTGTTAAGTATTTAGTCAGGCAGTACAGTGAAGCAAATTGTGGAGTCCATCTTTAAACTGTGAAAATAAGATTCATTCTAGAATTGTGAGTAATTCAATATGGCAATATGAGATAATGAAAAGCTTCAGAGGAAGAACAGTCTTAACTCCTAGTGAACTCCCTTTTAAGTCTTCTGAAACAATATGAGTCTTAGAAATGACGGGGATAAAAGATGTTTAATAGTACATGTATTGGTATTTGTCATTACACCTATAAATTTAGATTTAAATATGAGTAAAGATTGATGACCTAATAAAAAATTAAAATCTAAAAAAAGTTATATGATTAACACATCTATTTAGCTGTAAGAAAAGTAACATAAGCCAATATTTAAATTATTAAAGTGACAACACTGACGGAGGTGGAAATTTACAACCCCTAGTGGGGGAAAAGGAAACTGAGGACTTTTTGCAATTTCCCTTATCTTCCAAAGTTCCCCTGCCTGCCAAAAGTAAGCCCACCAAAAGTATCTGACAAACTCTTCCCATGGTGTGGTCCTACTAAACCCTATAAAACTCAGACCCTTGCTATAGCCAGTCACCATTTTCCTGAAAATGTGCTCCTCCGCTGCTTAATAAAGCATTGCTGATGCATTGAGGACTGTCTCCATTTTTTTTCCTTTTTTTATTCTCTTTCATTTGCTTTCAAATATGATCATTGACAATGTTATAATAAAACCCAATCAATTGCAAAATTGTTGATAAAAGAAGCTAACAAAGAAAGGAAAGAGAATCCAGAAAGAGAAGCAGAAAGAAATCTCCCATTTAACAGGTTGGAATTTTGTAAACAAGATCCACGTCTTTTTCTTCTTTTTATCCCCAGAGTCCAACAGAGTCAGGTACCCAGGAAATTCTAACTATTGAATTGAACTGCATCAGCATTATCACAGCCTTTGGTTACTGGTACCTAAATTAATTTCCACTAAATTGGGGGAGAAAAGCAAGATGTTAGACTATGTTTTCTTTTATATAGAAAAAAAATTAATTGCAAGTAGTTTAAAGATAATTTACTTTCTTAAATATTTTTTCAAATGAAATGCTATTTTTACAGACCCAATTATTTGGTTTACCTACTTGAGAGGTAGAATAGTATGGTGCTTCAAGTATGTGAACTCTAGAACCAGACCACCTAAGTCTCAACCCCAGCTGTGCGACCTTGGGCAAATTACTTAACTTCTCAGTACTTCAGTTTACTCATCTAAAAAGTAGAAATAATAGTGCCTACCTTATTTGGCTGTTGTGAAAAATATAAGTGAAAAGAACAATATCTAAAAAAGTAAGCACTATATAATATTAGCTATCATTATGATTACTTTTTAACTGTTTTCCTGATAGTATCTTGCCTGTAAACAACCTACAATGCTTAAAACTTTTTTATGAGAATATGAACACTAATCAGTTCACTTGAATTCCAAGCAAGAATTAATTACTGATATGCTACTTACACTAACTGATTGATGGTCTTCTGCTGCTCCTTGGATCTTTTGTAGTTTAGCAGCTTACTTTGTTGTGGTGTATCAACCCCTATGTCTTCTGGGGGATGGACAATAGGGGGTAATTTCAAGTTCAAAGCCTCCTTTTCTGCTTCAATGGCAGCTTTGTTTGGATCTGACATCTTGTCCCCTAAAAATTAAAATATACTCTGAAAAGTTCCATATAGCCATTATTGTAAAAGCAAGCCTCAATATATTCATAACATCTCAAGACCAAAATAAAATTCTACACCCTTTTAGATCTCATCTCCCTCCCAAATATGAGACAGAGGGAAAGAGGAGAAGAGTGTAAGAGAGAGAGGCAAAGTAGGGGGAGAGGACGAGTGACAGGGGGAGAAAAAGAAAAGAGACTTCTCCTCTGGTGAAAGTAAAGAGGTAAGGAGGGGTATCCTCAGGCATCTCACAGGCTCCAGGTCCAGTAACTGGTGAACAGCAATCCTCAACCCAGTGTTAGCAATGTTGTCGCCATAGAAACCCTGTGGCCAATGCCAGAAGGGCTGAATGAAGGTTGCCTGGAGAGCCTGTTGTGAAGCACAACAGATTTAGATCACCTGTCACAACAATAATTCCCATTATTCAAGTAAATGGAGGGTGAGTCAGATTACCTGTCTTTCTTCGAAAAGGGTTCAGAAAATCAGGACCTTCAAACTCGAAAAACTGTGTGACTGGAAATTTTAATCCGCTAGAAAATAAACAGGTTTATATAAATACTTACTCTCAGAGGAGAATCAAGTCTTCAAGTGTCCGCATAGTTCGGGGAGCTGTGGTGCATGCCTATAATCCCAGAGATTGGGGAGGCTGAGGCAGACAGGTCACAAATTTGAAGCCAGCCTTAACAATTTAGCGAGATCCTGCCTCAAAAAAATTTAAAAAGGGCGGGGAGGGAGTGGCGCTTTACTCAGTGGTAAAATGCCCCTGAGTTCAATCCCAAGTCAAAAAAGAAAAGAAAGAAAATCAAGTGTACCCATAGTGACTTGTAAATATTACAACTAATCAGCAATATAATTTATCTTGTTTTTATATTTGCTGTTAGTTTACAGTAATTTCAGGAAATCTTGCCAAAATCAAATAGGTAAGGTGTGAACTTTGTATGTCTGGAAAGCAAATGTGAAATGTTGCAATTGGAAGCTGCACAGTATATACTCCCTCTAAAGAATAGCATACATGGGGCTGGGGTTATGGCTCAGCGGTAGAGCGCTTGCCTAGAACATAAGAGGCCTTGGATGCGTTCGATCCTCAGCACCACATTAAAAAATAAATGAATAAATTTTAAAAAGATATCGTGTCCAACTACAACTAAAAAATTTTTTAAAAAAATTTTAAAAAGAACAGCATACATGATTAGTCTATACCTAAACAAAATCAGGGTTGTGTGACTGGCATAGTCATTTGACAAACCTTTGAGTACTTTCTCTGTGCCAGTCACCAGGTTTAAAAAAAAAAAAATTAAATGAGGGTATAGCCTATCCTGCTGAGGCTCAGACCCTGGGAAAGAGATTCAGGATCCCAGCAAATGAAGTAAGATGCCATTGGTAGAGTAGTCATGCTGTATTTGGAAGCAACAGTAGCCCCAGCCTGATTTCAGCACCCTTGAGTCCTTTCATAGGCCTTTTTTATATGCAGACCAGACAAAGAAGGCACATTGCCAATGAGTTACATAAGTGAATGTATGCTCACAAGCACTGTTTATGACCTTGAGTACATATGCTGAATCAGACTATGACTTTAGCTATATCTAAAAACAGCCTGCCAGAAGCCTTAGTGAAGAAGCCTAACTATAGCCATCTTGGGCCGTCCCTACACAGCCTTACACTATTATGTCTGACACACAGTAAGTGCTCCAAAATGTCATTTAAGTCAGTGAATGACAAAATAGAATGTCCTGATAGTTTTTTTTTTTTTGTTTGTGGGTTTTTTGTTTGGTTACCAGGGTGTGAACCCAGGAGTGCTTTGGCACTGAGCAATATCCCCAGCCCTTTTTATATTTTTATTTTAAGACAGGATTTCACTAAATTACTTAGGGCCTCGATAAGTTGCTCAGGCTGGCCTCAAACTTGTGATCCTCTTGCCTCAATCTCCTGCAGGATCACAGATGTGTGCCACCATGCCCAGCTTGTCCTGGTAGTTTGTAAAAGCAAACTATCTTTCTGTAGAAAACAAAATACTTTTATAAGTTTGTGATGGTCTTTTGAGTGCTAATTTGATTAGGCTTAACTATACTAACTGTAGAGAAGACAGCAATCTTTTGTATGATATGCTTTCTCCCAGTTATTCAATCAAACACTAATTTGGTGCTGCAATAAAGAAAATTTGCAGATATAATTCAAATCCCCCATCAATTGATATTAGCCTAGAAAGATTATCTTTAATGAGTTTGTCTCAATCAGTAGAATTCCTTTTTGGGGGGCTGGATGGGGGGTTTAACAGGGATTCAACTCAGGGGCACTCAACCCCTGAGCCACAACCCAGCCCTATTTTGTATTTTATTTAGAGACAGAGTCTCACTGAGTTGCTTAGCACCTCACTTTTGCTGAGGCTGGCTTTGAACTCAAGATCCTCTTGCCTTAGCCTCCAGAGCTGCTGGTATCACAGGTGCCCAGCTAGAGAATAAAAATAAAATTATATTCATTCTGTCTATAAGGGTTTTATCAGATAATTTATAAATATATCCTCCTGACTGTCTTATCAGATTTTTTTCCAGTACTAGGGATTGAACCCAAAGTCTTGTGCATACTTAGCAAAGTACTCCATCACTGAGCTTTACTCAACCCTGTCTAATCCCCTTTTTTTCCCCTTCCAATACTGGGGTGCTGGGGATTGAACTCAGGGCACTCTAGCACTGAACTACATACAATCCTTTTTAAAATTTTGAGACAGGGTCTTGCTAAATTGCCCAGTCTGGCCTCGAACTTGTAATCCTCCTGCCTTGGCCTCCCAAGTTGCTGGGATCAATGGTATGTGCCACTACAACTCAATGTCTAATCCTTTTCTTGATGGTATCTTTTGAAAAGCAAGTTTTTAACTTTGATAAAACCCAGTGTATATATTTATTTTATAGATTGTGACAGTGAAATCATCTATAAAGACAGAAAATCATGAAGATTTTCTCCTGTTTTCTTCTAATTTTGTTTACTTGGGTCTATGATCCAGTTAGAGTTAATTGGTGTATGCGGTGACAATAAATGGTGTAATTTTTGCATAGGGTTAATTCTGCATATAGATCCATGTGCATTTTTGCATCCCTAGCTGAGTGACCTTGGCACCTTTGTTTTAAAAAAACACTTCACTAGCTGGGCATGCTGTTGTACGTAGACTCAGCTACTCAGGAGGGTGCTGGAGAATCACTGGAACCCTCTAGCTCAAAACCAGCCTGGCCAACTTTGTGAGACCCTGTCTAAATTTTTACTCCTCACACTTCAGATAGAGCCCTAATATCCACAGTATACAAACTACTCAAAAAATTAAACAATAAGAAAACAAACAACCCAATCAACAAATGGGCCAAGGACCTGAACAGACACTTCTCAGAGGAGGACATACAGTCAATCAACAAGTACACGAAAAAATGCTCACCATCTCTAGCAGTCAGAGATATTTTTATGGTATGTAACAAAACAATGATTAAAACTAAAAGAAGATTAAATTAGATCAGCTTGCCTAAAGGAAAATCGTATTTTCTAATGGAACTTTCATTTTGCATAAATAAGCTAATTTAAGATTGACTAAATTCTGCAAAGTTGCTTGAAGAAAATACTGGGGATAAGAAAAATAAATGACATTTCAAAATTCAGAATTGTGGCTCAGTGGTAGAGCACTCATCTAGCACATGCAAGGCCCTGGGTTCTATCCTCAGCACCACATACAAAATAAATAAATAAATAAAGGTATTGTGTCCAACTACAACTAAAAATAAACATTAAAAAAATTCAGAATCACTCATGTGGGTCCTATAAACTGGAGACTTATCTCTTTCTTGCCTTAAGTCTGGGACAGGAGTCTCTGTGTTTCTCCTTTGCTAGCAAATAAATAAAATTTCTTTTTTCTAAAAACTTTGTTCTCATTTTTGGATTGGCAACAGAGCCAAGGACTGAACATGGTCCTGGTACCATGAGCAAGGACTAACTTACCTGTAGATGTATGTTATGGCTCAGAACTTTAAGAAGACAAAGAAAGACTAGAACAGTGGCATGTGCCTATAACCCCAGCAACTTGGGATGTTGAGACAGGAGGATCACATATTTAAGGTCAGCCTCAGCAACTTGGCAATGCCCTAAGCAACTTAGTGAAACCCTATCTCAAAGAAAAAGAAAAAATAGTGCTAGGGATACAGCTCAGTGGTAGAGTAACCTGAAAAGAAAACCAACAATCCCCAATTCAAATCCAGTCTGGTCTTTCAGGTCTTTAGGAAGATACATTTTCAAAATAGAAAAATCAAACACATTCTATTTAACAGCTTGATTTAAAATGCTATGTGGGCCTCCATTTGGATACTTGCCCTAGACCTCTCAAATAAGAGCAGGTCTTCTCATGCCTGACCTTTCCACATCCAGATTCATATCCAACTGCCTATGGATATGAGAAATAACCTCCTGGAACCTAACAAATATCTAAAATTTAATATGGTCTAGACACTCTCTTGATTTTCTTCTGCAAATATACTCTAATCCTAATATCTCCCATTCCTGTAAATGTCCTATCATTTGTTCAGCTGCTCTGTTTATTCCTGCCCTAATAATCCACTCTGTATTCTGAAATCAGAATTGTCTTTTTAAACATGTATCATGAAAGTTTACTCCCCTAATTAAAATCTTCCCATGGGAGAATGGATCAACAAAATGTGGTATAACCATGCAATAGAACACTTTTCAGCCACTAAAAGGGAATAAGACACTAATACATATTACAATACAGATGAAATTTGAAAATATTCTAAGTGAAGCTTTGTGTGATGGTGCACCCCTGTAATCCTAGCGATTCAGAAGGCTGAGGCAGAGGAATTACAAGTTTAAGACTATCTTGGACAGTGAGACCCTGTCTCAAAATAAAAAATAAAAAGGGGAAGCAATGTAGCTCAGTGGTAAAATATACCCCTAGGTTCTCCACTGTGGGGTGTGGGGGTTGGGGTCCATCACAATAGCCAGTGCACACCTGTAATCCCAATCACTTGGGAGGCTGAGGCAGGCCTCAGGAATTTAGTGAGACGCTCAGCAACTTAGCAAGACCTTGTCTCAAAATTAAAAAAAAAAAAAAAAAAAAAGACTGAGGATGTAGCTCAGTGATAAAGGGTTCCTGTTTCAATTCCAAATTGCAAGAAAGAAAAGAAAAATTTTTAAGAGAAGCCTATTAAGGTCCCTTAATGTATGATTTAAATATTCAGATTAGGTAAATCCATGGAAACACAAAGTAGAGTGGTAGTTACCAGTAACTGGGGTAAGTGGGAATGGAGACTGACTGCTGGTGGGTGTGGTATTTCTTTGGGGGATGATAAAGATTCTGGAATTGCCTAGCATTATGGTTGCACAAATTTGTATGAGAGTACTAAAAGCCACTGAACTATGTCGTTTGAAAAGAGTGATTTTTATGTTTATGAATTATACCTCAATTTTAAAATAAAAGAATCAGGAAAAAACTTAACAAAAAGTTGTTTTTAATTATACAATGCCTTACTAGATATGTGTATTTGATTTTGGGGGGGTAGGGGCATGGAAGGTGGGTAATGGGGATTGAACTCAGGGGCACTTGACTACTGAGCCATATCCCCATCCTTATTTTGTATTTTATTTAGAAGAAAGGGTCTCACTGAGTTGCTTAGCACCTTGCTTTTGATGAGGCTGGCTTTGAACACTCAATCCTCCTGCCTCAGCCTCCCCAGCCATTGGGATTACAGGTGTGCACCACAGCGCACAGCTTAATATTTTTCCTTTTTCTCTTCTTTTTTGGTGGTGCTGAGGATGGAACCCAGGATCTGTGGCTAAATGCACAGCCATTCTTGGGCTATTAAGGCTCTATGAAAACTGTGAAACAAAACTATATGGAAGCCAATGAGAATTAGGATACACAAAACTTCCCTTCGTGATTAAGCAACAATTAGCTTTCCTCCTTTGAGAAAAATGAAAGTTAAAATTATTTTCCAAAACTGCAAGCAAAACTACTCCAATGCCTTCTCTTTTTCTTAAAACACACACTCCATTAGTGCTCAGCCAATGAGAAATCAGAGGAAGAAACTTGCACTCTAGGGGATAAAATGCTGGTTGTAGGGCTGGGGTTGTGGCTCAGTGGTAGAGCCCTTGCATAGGAGGCTTGAGGCACTGGTTACAATTCTTAGCTCCAAATTAAAAAAAAAAAAAAAACTAAACATTTTTTTTAAATGCCGATTGTAACTGTTCTCGGGGGTGAGACCACCATTAAAGTAAAGTTTCGCTTTCTCTGTATAAATAAGTAGAAAACGCAGACCTTCATACTGTTGCTCACTCAATGTAGTGGGTGACTTTCCAACCTGCTACTCTTCCCTGGGCTCACTGCAAGTTAGACTGGACTTCTTTCTGGTACACAAACAAACCAAGATCCTTTCCTTTCAAGGGACTTATGAGAAATAGATCAGTTAAGTTTGAATTTCAGAAAAAGAAATTTTTAGGTGTAAGTATGCAGCATTATCATTATTTTTTTTAATTCACTTAATTGGCAGTCCTGGATTTTTATTTGCTAAATCTGGCGTCTCTAAAAAGATAAGATCTTCTTTGCTAACTAAAAATGAACAGCTTTCCGCAGTTCATCACTACTATTTGTTTTTGTTCGTTTACTAAGCTGTCTGTATAACTTTGACCGGATTTGTAACACACCTCTAAGCGACGGATAAAGCCTACTTCACAAAAAATGTGAGGCTTAAATAGACACCAAGTGTGTACCGTTTTTAGCATACTCAATGTTCACTAAATGGGAGTTAACGTATATTGGTCATTATCAGAGACTCAGTTGGGCGCTTGGTTGCCGGCCCCGCCAGAGTTGAACCCTTCACAGTTCAGGAAAAGGCGAGCAGGGTGAACAATACCATGGAGAGGAAATGAGCAACGCTTTCCACGTCCCCAGTGAGCCTTCCAATTCGGGTGGGAACCCCTACACCCTCACTCAGTCCAGCCCCAGGGAGTATGAGGAAGACGCCTCCAGAAAACCCGCTCAACGCTCGCCTCAGTTCGCAAAATAGAGCGAGTGACGCCGTCCAACCTCTTCCGGTTTGATGCACCGTCCCCTCTGGACCCCCAGTTGCACTTTCAACAAAGCTTGGAGTACGATATTTCTCTATAGCATATATATATATATTTCCTCCACCTCAATAAACCTAACTCTGGTTGAATATAAAAATTAATTGGCTGGTAATTAGAGAAAAGTATTGCCATGAAAAGGAGCAGATAAGTAGGCCTAGCGAAAGTGCGTGGCGCGAGCTTTGTTCGCCTTCTCCTAGCCTGCCGGAAGTCGCTGGGTCTGAATGGGTTCCGGAGCCGGCGGCTGTAGCTTCTCTGTCTTCACTTGACACCGGGCGGCTGCTTGGCTGCTGGTCTTGTCAGCCTCTGGGTTGCTAGGTTCATGTGGAGGCTCCCAAGCACCCGCGCCGTGCTTCGTGGGGTCCGGACGGCCGTGGAGCAGCGCAGCCGGACTGAAGCGGCTCCTGAAAAGGCGGCAGGCGCGATGGAGCGCGCTGTAGTGCGCTGTGTTCCCTCGGAGCCCAAGCTGAGCTTGTCGTTTGCGCTGGCCGACGGCAGCCACAAGAACATGCAGCGCGACCAGAGTGAGCCGCTGGGTCGGGCCCTCAGCCGGATCGCTACCAATGCCCTCAAGGGCCACGCTAAGGCAGCCGCAGCTAGAAAGAACCGGAAGAACCGGTCCAACGCGAGCGGCGGCGCGGCCTGTGCAGGGTCTGGGTCGGAGACGGCAGCAATCTGCGAGCCCGTGGTAAAGCTGTACTACCGAGAGGAAGCAGTGGCTGAGGATGTGCTCAACGTGGACGCCTGGCAGGACGGCGCGGTGCTGCAGATTGGCGATGTCAAGTACAAGGTGGAGCGCAACCCACCCGCCTTCACCGAGCTTCAGTTGCCACGCTACATCATGGCCGGCTTCCCCGTGTGCCCCAAGCTCACCCTTGAATTTGGGGATCCGTCTGGCTCTCTCTACCGCTGGTACAAGGAAGCCAACCCTGGTGCCGCGGAACCTGAAGGTAGTGGCCCTTCGTCATTGTCTCCCTCTTCGCCGTCTTCTACTTGGACCGAAACGGGTGTGAATGAGCGCGTCTACATCCCGTCCAATGCTGACATCGGACTGCGGCTGAAACTTCACTGCACTCCAGGCAATGGGCAGCGTTTCGGGCCGAGCAGGGAATTGGAAAGTGTGTGTCCAGTGGAGGCCGGGCCTGGTACTTGCACTTTTGACCATCGGCATCTCTACACCAAGAAAGTGACAGAGGACGCTCTCATCCGCACTGTCTCCTACAACATTTTGGCAGACACGTACGCCCAGACTGAGTTCTCACGGACTGTTCTGTACCCATACTGTGCCCCCTATGCCCTGGAGCTTGACTACCGCCAGAACCTTATCCAGAAGGAACTCACAGGCTACAATGCCGACCTCATCTGTTTGCAGGAGGTTGACCGCGCGGTGTTTTCGGACAGTTTGGTACCCGCATTGGAGGCTTTCGGGCTGGAGGGCGTGTTTCGAATCAAGCAGCACGAAGGCCTGGCCACTTTTTACCGGAAGTCAAAGTTCAACCTCCTTAGCCAGCATGACATTTCTTTCCAAGAAGCCCTGGAGTCTGACCCACTTCACAAAGAACTGCTGCAGAAACTAGTTTTGTACCCATTGGCACAGGAAAGAGTGCTCCAGAGATCTTCTGTCCTTCAGGTGAAGAAGCTCTTTTTTCATACTTTCTCATTTTTAGGGGCCTGGAATGCGGTGTAGGGGGAGGGCAGCAGAGGTTATGACTGAAATCATCCAAATTTTATTGAAGTGTTAAAAGTTTAATTTTCATTTATTTGGCATTTATTGAGCACTCTTGTGTGCCTCCTATGCTGCAGGTTGCCTTCAGCAAGACAAACAAGGATTTTCTTAGTGCTTCATAATCTGGGGGAGACATGTTAAATACAAGAATAATAGCAATATTTAATTTTTTAACTACTTGTCAAGCACTGTTCTGACATATTTTAAAGTACTTAAAGTGCTTGATGACCTTTACCATGTGCTTCATAACTATTAACTAGTAGTCTTTATCATTGGAGCATTTAATCTTCACAGTAATCCCTGTGTTCTCATTTTACAGATGTGATTCTGCTCATTTTATAAATGGTCAAATTTATTTATCCATATTCACACAAACATGGAGCCAGGATTCTCAACTATATACATATAACAATCATCACTGGGCGGAGTATTAACTGCTACTTAAAGCTATCTTTGTTTTTAGAAATATGTTTACTGTGTTTGTCCAGAATTTTGAGGTCATTGGCTTGGTTCAGAGTAAAAAGAGTTAGCTACCTTTTGGGGTTTTCTGGAGCACCTGTGTTTTATGCACCTTTTTGTAAATTTATTTAATTGAATACACATTGAAGTCCTCCATGAGGTAAGGATAGAGTTTTTTACCATTATGAAACTAGTTTAGAAGTGTGTTTCTCCATGTCATACTGCTGTGTTGAATATTCAAACACAAGTCCATCTGACTCCAAAACCTGCCCCTGACCACTAGAAAACACCGTCTCCAACTTTAATATTTTCATCTATAATGTATCATATTAGCTTTATGTTGGACTATTAAAATACATTACACTAAATCCTACTCATATATATTCTGAAACTTTTCATACTTGATATCAGTTCATCAAGGGAAAGATATGGAATAAAATGTCCATCATATAGACTTAGATTAAAAAAAAATCTGGGGCTGGGGTTGTGACTCAGAGGTAGAGCGCTCGCCTATGCATGAGGCACTGGGTTTAATCCTCAGCACCACATCAAAATAGTGTCCACCTAAAACTAAAAAAAAAAAAACGTTAAAAAAAAATCTTCAGGAGATTGACAGACATCAATTGACTTCCTGACACTTTCCATTTATTTTAGGTTTCAGTTCTTCAATCTACAAAGGAGTCTTCTAAAAAGATATGTGTTGCTAATACCCATCTCTACTGGCATCCAAAAGGTACATTTTATTTTTTGTGACTTAAACATGGTGACTTAATGTTACTAAATCTATTTTACACATATATTTTGAGTGTCACCATATGAAATGGTTTTTTTTTGCTTTTTAAAGACTACTTTAAAAAGTACTTACATTAATGTTTTTTATATTCATAGGTGGGTACATTCGTCTCATTCAAATGGCAGTAGCTTTGGCTCACATTAGACATGTCTCATGTGATCTGTATCCTGGCATACCGGTTATATTTTGTGGGGACTTTAATAGTACACCATCAACAGGAATGTATCATTTTGTCATCACTGGCAACATTCCAGAGGATCATGAAGACTGGGCTTCCAATGGGGAAGAAGAAAGATGCAACATGTCTCTAACACATTTCTTCAAACTGAAAAGTGCTTGTGGTGAACCAGCTTACACAAATTATGTTGGTGGCTTTCATGGATGTCTAGATTACATTTTCATTGACTTACATGCTTTAGAGGTTGAACAGGTGATTCCATTACCTAGTCATGAAGAAGTTACCACCCACCAGGCCTTACCTAGTGTTTCCCATCCTTCTGATCACATAGCACTTGTGTGTGATCTAAAATGGAAATAGATTTCTGTTTAATGGAATTTAAGTATAAAAAGGAAATTAGTTACTTTGTAGAAAATTTGATATGAATCAAAGCTAATATGTAACTTTCAAAGAGGAAATATAGACTCAATGGTAAAACTTTCTATTCATTCCCTACTAGTTATGTTCCAAGACTATTTATGTTTGCATCATATAGACCCTTTTTCCCCCTACACTTGGAGGAAAAGCAAATATATTTATTGAGAAACAGGAAGTTCATATATTGTGTACATTTTTATAAATGATTTTTAATCTAATTAAGAATATTTTAAGTACCATTTGAATGATCTTTTTTTTCATGACACATTTCAGTTTGAATCATGTTTATTTAATTATATGAAAAAATGCATACAGGTTAAGGTGAAAGACCTAAATTCTGACACATGGGTCTACCTCTACCTCAATTTGGTCAGCAGTTTATTACAATTTCAGAGTTGACAAAAAATTAAAGTTGTTGTTGTTGATTGCTTCTGGTTTTTTTCTCCACCCCCAAGTACTAGGATTTAAACCCGAGGCTCTCACACAGTAGGCAAGTGCTTTTTCATTGAGCTACATCCCCAACCCTTTTTATTTTGAGATGGTCTAAGTTGCCCAGGCTGGCCTTGAACTTGGGATGCTCCTGCCTTAGCCTCCCCAGCCTCCCATGCACCATTGTAACCAACTTCCGTTTTTCAGCTAATGAATTGTCTTCATTCTCTTTAGTATTTTTGTTGTTAATATATGGTAAAATGGACACAATTTATATTCTGAGTCATACAGCAGCTCATTTTAATTTCTAGTATGTAAGCACAATTTAGTATTCAAAGTAAATAGCAACATTTGATCCCATTTTATTTAATTACTCTTGCCTACAAAAAACTTAAAGACAAAAGAGTATTTGACCAGGTGATATTAACAAAATACAGCACAATACATTATTTTTGAGAAAATGCCTACTGATATGGACTTGAAACTTTGGATAAACTCATTCAGCATTTCTATGCCATAAGCATTTTCAAAATTGTTAGTTTTTATGAATAGGGAATAGAGAAGTAGTTTGGCTTTTGAGTATATCTGAAATAAAAACTATTACTTTTATAGGTAAACAATATAATTTATTGTAAAACAAGATTTAAATAGGAGGCCAAACTCTTTTAAGATTAGAAATTACAAACAGCCTACAGTGATAACTAAGCTTTACTGACCAATTTATCACCATACCTTATTTGTAATGCTTAAGCTGTTGCTTTTTTGATGTTCAAGATAACTATAGTATACTCATATTTCTGCATTTAATTTCTAGATTAGGTATTAAATCCTACTCATCTCAAGAAAAGCTCTGATTTTCCAGTCATGAAAATGCTCATTTCAGATTCTTTAATCTCTGAATCTAGTACCATAAGAATTGTCTTCTTTAGATAATCTGCTATCAGATGTATTGTTATCTCTTAGTTTAGCAAGTTTGAGAATGAAATTTTACCTGCACTTCAGATTAAACCTTGAAGTATTTGAAGTACTTGAAGGGAAAGATTAAGGTACCAGATTGAACTGGGGATTGAACTCCGGGGCACTCAATCACTGTACCACATCCCCAACCCTATTTTGTATTTTATTTAGAGACTGAGTTGCTTAGCACCTTAGCCAGCTGAGGCTGGCTTTGAACTCACAATCCTCTTGCCTCAGCCTCCAGAGCCACTGGGATTACAGGCATGTGCCTCTATGCCCAGCAAGGTGGCAGTCTCTTGTGATCTTATTTAGAAAGAGCTATTAAATTGGGGGGTAGGGGGGGGAAATCGATGCTACCGACTTGTGCCTTCCTAAAAACCATTTTCAAGAGCATTTTAACAGCAGTTTATAAATAAACAAATAAAGCTAGAATCTGATTTTTTTATATACTTTTTCTTTCTTTTAAAAATTTGGTTTTGGTCTGCTTCCAAATACACGTTAACAGACCCATATAGTAACTTAAGAGAAAACAAGTTTCTCAGAAAAATGTTAAAAAAAAAATGTAAAAAATTTTTCTAATGTGATATAATTACCCATGTCCATGAAAAGAACACACAGGTTCTATATTATACAAGTCCTAGCTAGATTGAAATCTAGTCAGAAAATCTCTTAAGCACTTACTAAATAGTCCATATATCCTAAATACCTAAAGTTGGTATTTCCTGACTAAACAGTGTAATCAGATTATATACAGGTATTTAAAGATATTAGGACAATGGAATGTTATTTTCAAGTGCTATATACTCTAGTCAGATCTCCCATAAACAGATACATTAGAATGACTCGAGTCCAAAGGTAGATGACAGTAAGAAAATTATGTAAGTAGCATACCAAAATTTCCTGTATTCATAAGACAAAGTGTTATTCAGAAATGTTTAAAGCTATCTTTGTGATTGAATTTTTCTATTACATTGGAATTTTCAGTATATTTTATTGTAACAAATATGGGAAGTTTAACAACTTTTTATAGCATATCACATTTTATAATGTCCTAAGTTCTTGCTGCAGGAATTAACATTTCAAAATTTTATAGCTATAAATGAGTACAAGTATTTTAAGATATGTTATTCTATTTTTTAATATTTATTTTTTAGTTGTAGTTGGATACAACACCTTTATTTCACTTGTTTATTTTTGTATGTGGTGCTGAGGATCGAACCCACAGTCTCGCACGTGCGAGGCAAGCGCTCTACCACTGAGCCACAACCCCAGCCTAAGATATGTTATTCTATTAAAATGATCTCTTGCACAGTTGACACTACAGCAAATATATACATTGATAGTTCAGAATTCATTAGCAAACAAATCATTTCTGGCAACAATGTGTGTTGTTTTAAAATTTTGAATACTGAAATCAGTTGTTCCAAATTTCCTTTTGAATGTGGTGTTTCATACTGGAGGATAGATGTCTGAAGAGCAAACAAAAAGGGAGAAAAGATAGGAACTCTACTGTGGGAAGATCTCCCTAGTCAAAATAGTCATTTTTGATCTCACGTCTTAGCTCTGAAATATAGGCAAAGGTTTCCTATAAACTAATCCTTTTAAGTAAAATCCAAAATCCATATATAATAATAATAAAAGATACTGCATATTAATTTAATAAGACCCAAATGAACAACTCTTTAGGAAAAATCTTTCCTCTAAAATCAATTCAAAAACATTTAAATGTATTGAAACTTTTTAATATTTTGCCTAGGATAATATTCAAAGGAAATACTGTTTAGATTTCATTTGGGGGAAGGAAAGAATTTTAAGAGCTTTAATTCATATGGGTTAAGTCTTTTGGTCCTTTTTTATAAGGAAATATTGCTACATTCTGAGATGATACCAAAGCATTTTTTAAATGAAATTCACATAGGATTAACCATTTTAATGTGTATAATGCATTCACATGTACAACCATCTAGTTCCAAAGCATTTTCATTACCTCCAAAGGAACAAGCAGTCAATCCCCAGTCTCACCTCCCCCAGCAACTGAAAACTACTAATCTGCTAGGGATCTACCTATTTTTGATATTTCATCTAAATGTAATCCATATGATCTTCTGTATCTGGCCTTTTTCATTTAACATATATTTTCAGGGTTCATCTCTTCTTATGGCTGAATGACAGTCTATGTAGATATACCACATTTGCTTATCTAAATGGACACTTACTTGTATGGTTTATGTCTTTTGGCTATTTTCACTAGTGCTGCTATAAACATCTGTGCAGTTTTTTTTGGTTTGAATCTGTTCTTCCGAGTATATACCTAAGAGTGGATTGCTGGGCTGTATGTGATTCTGTTTTCTTGTTGTATAATTTTACATTCCCTCAGTAATGTATGAGGGTCCCCCATTTTCTCCACATCCTCACCAAATAGTGGGTTTGAAGTGATATCTCTACCAGTGCTTTTGTGTTTGTGTGGTGCTGGGTATTGAATCTAGGTCCTTGTGCATGTAAGGCAAGCATTCTACCAACTGAGTTATATCCCCAGCCCTTACCAATGCTTTTTTTTTTTTTGGTGTGAGGAGGTACTGGAGATTGAACTTGGATACTCCACCACTGAGCCACATCCCCAGCCCTATTTTTTATTTTATTTAGACACAGGGTCTGAGTTGCTTAGTGCCTTGCCATTGCTGAGGCTGGCTTTGAATTCACAATCCTCCTGCCTCAGCCTCCTGGGATTACAGGCGTGCACCACCATTCCCCGCTCTACCAATGTGTATGTGATTCTCTTTTCTTTTTTAACTTTAGTTGAATTAATGTTGACAGTCATGAACTAGATTATTCACAAATGGTTTACATGACTTCCTATTTTCCAAGAAGGCCCATATTCAGTTCCTGCTCATTTTACAAGCTTGTGTCAAGTGGGAAAGGTCAGTTTCCTGGCTTTCTTTGAAGAAATTTGAGAAGACAAAAATTAGAAAAATACCAAAGCGTAAACTGTAAATAAATAAAAAACCTAGGATAACAAAAAGTTAAATCTTAAAATGTTTGTCTCAGAATGAACTTGTTTAGTAACACTGGCTTACAATTAACAATGCTCCTTTTTAAATCTTAGGTACACAGAATAATAGATCACAAGAATGTATAAATTCTGTTGGGTATAGTGGCACATGCCTGAAATCCCAGTGACGTATTAAACATATCAGTTCACCCTGGTTGATGTGGATTCATTGTTATGTCAACGAACTCTGGGATGTCAAAATCCATATTTGTGTAGGTTTTAATCGTAATTTTAAATCTCCTTGAAAACTTTCCCTAAAAACAATTCATCTCCATCTGCCCATTTTGTGTTGATGCTGTCAAAACATTTGCATAACATAGTTCATTTTTGCCCAGTAACTCATCTTAATGATTTCATCCTGAAATGTTGCCAATGGACATTTTCTTAGTGTGCTGAAGTATTCCTGGGTTATATTTTTACTAGTTTGTCCTATTTGTGTTCTTTCTATATTTAACTTGATTCAGTAGTCAATTGGATTTAGTTGTTGTATTGGATGAATATGCACTTTTACAAGAATTATCAAATATCTTTATTTCCCTTGTAGAATAATTTAGAAACAATGGCATATCACCCTTAACATCCTTTTATTACATATCTTAGAAAAGTCTGGCTTTTTGCATATTGCATTGTGTCCTTTTTCTTCTCTCCAAATGAAATAACTCCATGATGATTTGGTTCTTCTATCCTAAATTGATGTTTTTTGTCTATAAGGGATTTCACTGCCTGTCAATTTAGTTCACAGGCCCTAAAAGAAATCCTAGCAGTCACTTCCCATTCTCCCTAGCTCCTGGCAACCATTTACCTACTTTATCTATATGAATGTCTACTCTGTACCTTTCATATAATTGGAATCAAATTATTATGCAGTTTTTTATGATTGGCTTCTTTTCATTTAAGATGTGCCCATGTTGTAGCATATATTAGTACTCATTTTTATGAATATTCCATTTCATGCATACCACATTTATCATTCGTCAGTTGACAGACATTTGGATTACTTCTATTTGCCTTCCAGATTACTTCTACTTGCTGCAACAAATATTTGCGTACATGTTTTTTAGTAGATAGATGTTCATGTGGGATCTGTTATACCTTTTGAGGATCTACCGAAATACTACCAAAATTAATACTATTAACTAAAGTACTATTTTACATTCCCACCGGCAATACACATAGGTTCTAATTTCTCTACATCCTCATTCTTATTAATACATTTTATTATTAATATCTTATTATAAAAATAATACATGCTCTTGTAGTTGCAGTGGTACTTACCTGTAATCCCAACTACTAAGGAGGCTAAGGCAGAAGGATCACAAGTTCAAGGGCAGCCTGGACAATTTAGCAAGATCCTATCTCAAAATAAAAAAGGATGGGGATGTAGCTCAGTAGTAAAAACGTCCCTGAAACTAACCCCCAGTACTGCCAAATAAAAAGAAAAATATGCTCATTTTTAAAGTGGAAATCACAATACAGCAATGTAAAAACTTGTATTTGCCATACCTGAACTCCCTAAACCCATTTTAATAGCTAGTGTTTATCTGTCCAGACCATTTCTTTGAATATCCATAAATAAAAACATACACCTATTTAAGTACATATAGGATCATCTGCATTGTATATTATCTTCCCATGTCAACAGACAATAACTATTTTTCAAGTTGTATATGCCATAATAATTTAACCAGAACACTTTTGTATTATTTTTGCCATTGTAAGCAGTGTTTTTTGTACACGTATCTCTTGCCCAATTGTTGGGTATATAGCAGTATAGGATTACAATTGTTGAACCAGAGTTGTTATTCTCTTTTTGATTGTAAGTATCTTACTATGAAGTGGCATCTCACTGTGGTTTTGATTTAGATTTCCTTGATGGGGATGTGTTCCAAGACCCCCAGTCTCAGTGGATGCCTGAAACAACAAATAGTGCCAAACCCTATATATGTTATTTTTTCCTGTATATACTTATAATAACATTTAACTTATAAACACAGTAAGATTAACAATTTGTAAAATACATTTTACTATAATAAAAGTTACTTAAAACTTACGGTTTCTGAAATTTCCCATTTAAGATTTTTGGAATACATTTGAATTAAATACTGAAACCATGGAAAACAACACCAGAATGGGTAACTACTATACATTTCTATTTAGTTGAATGGCAATCCAGCCTAAAAAGAACCATGTGGCCAGACATGGTTATCAACACACACACAAATATCACTGCATTATAGTTGTACATAATGGTGGAATTTGTTGTTATGTGTTCATACATGCATACAATATAACAATACAATTTTGGTCAGTATCATTCCCCAGTATTTCCCTTCCCTTCCCTTCCCTTCCCTCTTCCAGTCACTTTCTTCTATTCTACTATTCTTTTCATTTTCATGAGATTCCTGCCCCAGCACCCACCACCTTTCTTTTCCCTTTTCCCTTTCTTGCTTCCACATGAGAAAACATGACTGGGGCAGTCTGTTCTTAACCAGTTCTCTGCCTGCAGAAGGCAGGGCTAAGCCTCCCACCACCAAGTACTTAACATGCCCATGTGTACTATTACAACAGTAAAGGAATTGGTGACAAGGTCAAGAGGGAATCTAATTTCACTGTTCTTAAACACTTAAGTGACCTAGGAGTCATCTGTTAGTACAGCTACATTGTTTCTTGCCTTAGTCCAGATATTTGCTCATGCTATTTACTTCTCACAATCTTTGTTCTTAAAACATTTTATATGGCTTGTGGAAATACAAAATAAAGGACATTTTCTTCCTGTACTGATAACTTAGGCACTTGAATACAATGTCATAATGCATATACTAGAAGAAATGTATCAAAAAATATGATAAAGTTTAATAACTCAAGTAAATTTTAGACCACGTCTGAATGAATTCCATTTTTATAGTAATGTAGCCTTTAAAGTAAAATGTTTATATTATTCTCAATGACATTAAGAATGTAAAGCTAGTACCTCATTCCAAACATTTTCCTAAAAATTAACTAGTTGATTACATAAATGTTATCTGAGAAGAGTTCTTGGCATGCTAGTTAGTGCTGTCCCAATACTAATTCTGTTAATCCCTCGGAAAAATGCTGGCAATGTGATTGTTTCCAATAGCATTCTCAGAATTGAACATTCTTAAATAATCAGTGAAGATTCTAGAACTGCTTCAATAATTTCCTCTACATCAGATCTTTAGACAGTGTACTAGCAAATACCATTTGTTCTTATTACTCAACCTTTCATATTAATTCTATCCAAGTTGATAGCCAGTACATTACCGAAATATCAACATGCCATGAAGTACAACACTTGTTTTCAACAAATCTAAAGTCACTTTCAAAGCTCCATCACAAAGAACCAGAAATCCATATTAAAGAAAGTTTAGTAATTATTACATATAAGGTAATTCTGTGCCTATACTGAAATAAAGTATCTAAGTGAGACACTGGTACTCTACAAAACTAAGGTAATATATTTCACTCAGGTTTTATTTTCAACAAAGAGTATGTAATATGTAAGATAAAGGGGGGAAATCCATGGAAATTGAAATCTTTAGCAAAATATCAAGATATACACCACAGAAAAGCAACTGATAAGCTAGACAAAAGACAGTGGGAAATATATTATTGACCAAAACAATGCTTACTGGACAGGGGTCAGAGAACAGATAATGGTCCATCTTCAACCCTGATGCTGCTAATGAGCCTTTAAAAGTAATTACAATTCCTCTTCAGTTTTTCTATTAACATATTTGACTACTATTTGGCAAAATACTTTTTAGGGGTATAATTAACTGGTCTGTATAAGGGAGGTCACTGAGATGTCTTACTGACTGACCAACACTGTTTTAACATTTGAGGAAACATTGAATGTTGAGAGTGTTAAATATTTAATAAGACTAATGAACAATAGATTAGGACAGTGATAGCGATTTCGTAAGTCTGTATAAAACAGGGAAAATCATTCTAGCATCTCATGATTTACTCTCCCAAAGCATTTGATCGCTTCTATTTGAAAATAAAATTCTCAGTTTGGCTTTAATATTTTAAGGATTTAAGAAAAAAGTTATTTCTAGAGGTAAAAGTTGCCAAGTTACCAAGTTAATGGTTTCTGAAATTTTCATTTTAGATATTTGGAATGCGTTTGAATAAATAATGAAACCAGTTACCAAGTTAATGTTTTCAGAACAAAACAAAACAGTCTTACAAGTATTTTTCAACCCATTTGGTGAAAATTAGACAACTTTATTTGGGGGGGGGGGGCGCGGGTAACAAGGATTGAACTCAGGGGCACTCAACCACTAAGCCACATCCCCAGCCCCATTTTGTATTTAGAGTCAGGGTCTCACTGAGTCACTTTTGCTGAGGCTGGCTTTGAACTCTTGATCCTCCTGCCTTAGCCTCCCAAGCTGCTGGGATTTTAAGCATGCACCAGCACGCATCCGGCTTTAACATTTTTAATACAGTCATTTCCAATGGTAGCAACAGCTGCCCTTTATAACAAATTAGAGTATATGGATTCTCTAGAGTCCATGGAAAGTAACTTCAGCTTAATTGAGTTATTAGCTTTTTAAAATTAATGATCTGAACTTTGAACTTACTGAAGTTTTGTATCTTCTACTTCATATCCCATATACATGAGAACTCCCTTATTTGCAAAGAAGAGAGAATTCATCCAGTAGTCTAGGAAAGTTGTAATCATCAAGTGACACAAACTAGTTAAACATATTCTATATCCCAGAACCTCTTTTAAATGATCATAAACTGCTTACGTACATTTTCCTTACATTCAATCCATGGGTTTTTTTTAATTCAAAAGTATACAATTTTTAAAGCGTATACCTGGTTTTAGAAATAACTTTTTGATCCATAAATATGTCTGAATCTATTCAGGCCATTAAGAACCATAAGAAAAGTAACACTGTGGTAGAGTACTTGCTTAGCATGTTCAAGGCCCTGGGTTTGATCCTCAGTAAGTATAATAAAATAAAACACCATAAAAAAGCAAGATTTATAATACATAAAATATTAGAATACAGACAAAATCTTTAAGTCACTCAAAGCTAACAAGTTCTAGTCCTTAATAACTTAGTAGATATAGTTAATAGGGTATAATTTTATTGCCTTAGTAACTAAAGAATGAGTCACGTACAGTTCTCAGTTGAAGTTTAAAATTTGTAAAATCAAAAAGAGAAGTGATTGTAAACTTTGCTCTTCTTTGTAGTGCAGTGGCATCACCTAAGTCTATGTATTCTGCCATGCAAACAGCACTTGAGGAAAAAACTTTTTCAACTAGTGTTAGCTGTAAAATAAACATCACACATGCTTTTGGAGCAGTCCATTTGTTTGCTCTTGATGCAACTTTTGAAATTTACTGCTTCAAATGGAATTTTATAAGCCTAAATTTTTCTGGGTTTTTTTGTTTGTTTTGGGTACTGGGGATTTACCCCAGAATGATTTTCATCCCCAACCCTTTTCATTTCTTAATTTGAGACAGGATTTAAATAAGTTGCTTAGTGCCTTGTTAAGGTGCTGAGACTGGCCTCAAACTTGTGATCCTCCTACCTCACTTCCTGAGTTGCTGAGAATTACAGGTACACACAGCTATGTCTGGCTGAAAACTAAAGTTTTGATATTGCAGCCCACTCCGTGGTAATAATAACCCATGATAAATTTAGTTCTAACTTAAATAATTAATAAACCCACTGGGATTTATATTATTTGCCACAGTTTATAAAATATGCAAATCAACTTTGCTATACAGGAAAATTTATTTCAAACACAAAGAGTCATGAAGAACACACAGTTATATATTTTATCATTTTATTAGGAATAATTTCAAATGGGTTATGAAGAAAACTTATTGTGTTTGCTGAGTTTTCAAAAAAACTCTTAATGAAGATATGTTCATCAATAAACAAAACACCAGCAGAACTATCATATACTGGGCAAAGAGTCAGGCTGATACCAAAAGCAACATGCAACATAAAGAAGATAATAATATAAAGAAAGACAATCTGCTGAGTATTAAAAGCCATCTCAATATGAACTCTTTGCAACCAGCACAGAATTAGCTATCAAATCCAAACCACACCAAGGTTAAGTTTGGCTGACGGAAGCCAGGAAGTCAATAATAGGGAAAAAATATTAAGTTCCTCAGTGCAAGATAGCTGAATAGTGTTTTGGAGCATTTCCCTGGCTGGTACAAGAAGTATTAGAAAATCCTTTTGGCAAGGGATAGAAATAAATACAAATGGAATGCTACATGTTCAAATCAGCAGACTGTCCCAGGAATGATACAGGTATCAGTAAAATAGCAAGGGGATAACTTTAAAACATTATTTGTTGTGGGCTCAAAAAACATTCAAAACTGATTTATTTAAAGGTGTCACAATAGCTATGTCCAGGCATTTAGGTTTAAAGGAAGTCAAAATTAAAAGAGGATACTTTTTTCCCCAAGAATTTCTTCAAAACCAAGCATATTGCTAAAGAGCAACATTATACTTGGTAAACAATAATTGGCAACAAAATAAGTTTAAACGCTGTAATATTCTGCCCAAACCAGTCCCAGATACAGTTTAATAACCAAGATGCAAACTAATTTTGTTGTAACAAGCCTAGACCAATTCTATCAAAATGTGTCCTTGGTTAGATATCCAGTTTTATTTAACGTTTTGAAAGCTCGTTTGACAGCCAATCAAGTCCCTCATACAGACCAGTTCCTTGTGTAGCACAAGTGGCTTGAACATACCACTGTGAAGAAAGGACAAGAAAATACTGATTAACAAGATTGTGTATAAGCAGTGTTTAAACTTTCTTAATCAAAATACTAAGTATTCCCCCTTCAAATGTCCAAGGTTACTACTAAGTCAGCAGTCACTGTTAACTATATGGAAAAAAGAAAACGAAAATATGCAAAAACAATGGAAAATATGAGGAAATGTATTAAATGACTTCTTCTCAAACATAATTAATTTGCTATCTAAAGATTTTCTAACTATAAAGATTACTCAAAATTATCTATGCTTTAAGATTAGGAGTTTTCTCACACCTCTTGCTTCTCACAAACCCCCCTTATATTTAAAGCTACATCTACCTAGTCATTAAATTTAGTAAACTTTCCACCATTTAAACTGAAGAGAATATTCATGAGGAAACAGTAACTAACAAACTACTCAACTGAAAGGGCTGACTTTTGTATAATCAAAAATTATCATATTGTATTAGGGTTTGAACCCAGGGCTTCACACATTAGGCAAGCATTCAACTACTGAGCTAACATCCCCAGCTCTTTTTACTTATTTATTTTTGAGACACAGTCTCACTAAGTTGTTGAGACTGGCCTCAAACTTGAAATTTCTCCTGCATCAGCCTCCCCAGTAGCTGGGATTATAGGCATGAACCAGCCTGGCTTATGTTACCATAATTTTTATAAATGATGTGCTCATTGCCTTCACAGAGGATAACTATCAACTTTTAAATTGAGTATTAGCTGAAATAGTAACTCTAGAAGTCAGGAGGTCAGTATATTAACCTTCAAATACTTACTGTTCTGTTACGGAGAGACTGAAGGCCTAATTTATCTGTCATTTCGCTGATAGCCATAGCATTTGGCAAATCCTGTTTGTTTGCAAAAAGCAGCAGCACTGCATCTTGCAGCTCATCTTCCTCAAGCTAGAAATAAAAAGTAGACCATTAACAACTACAAAACTGGGTCCAATTATTGTAACTAACTGTCCAAAACAATGTCTTCCTATATATATATATTTTTTCAACATTAAATAGTGTTAAACAACAACCAAATTTCTCTACGTAAATTTCAGGTACTCTTACAACTTAAATCTCATATCTTTCAGATTTTAAATCCAGAGTAAATAATCATATGCCTTGAAGTAAAGCAAAAATGTTTTTTAAGCCAATCATCCTATACCCCATCAAGGCAAATCACTTTCAAGAATTTCCACAGAGAATGAAGACTGCCAAGGACAAGAAATATATAAGGGAATATAGTGTTTAAGGCATGATCTTACAGTACTTAGTAGCAAAAGTATTTAGATGGTGATCCTTTTGGATTTTTATCCTTTCCAGACAATGGGGTCTCACAACACTGAGAAAATAAAATTACTAAGATATTAGTAGTATCATAAAAGGTGCAAGAAGAGTACCAAGCATAAAGCTAGTAGGATTAAGTATTGTATAACACAACATGGATGACCCTTGAAAAATCATTCTAGGTGAAACAAGTTAGACACAAAAGATCACATATTAATATTTCCATTTATAGGAACATAAAGAATAAATAATTACAAAGAAACGAATACTAGATTATTGGTTGTCAGAGGCCAGGGATGTGGGTAGGAAAGGGAAGTAATGGGGAGTGACTGCTAATGGTTCCAGGATTTCTTTTTGGAATGATGGAAATTTTCTAATATTAGATTGTGGTGATGTTTATAAAACTCTGTATACTAAAGACCACTGACGTATACCTTTTTTAGGGTACAAGAGATCCAACCCAGAGCCTTGAATATACTGAATGCTATACCACTGAGCTACAGCCCAGCCTTGACTTGCACATTTTATTTTATCTTTACTTATTGGTGTTGGGGATTTAACCCAACCCAGGGGTATTAACTACTGATTCATGTCCCCAGCCCTTTTTTATACTTTATTTAAAGACAGGATCTCATTGAGTTGCTTAGGACCTCACTAAATTGCTGAAACTGGCTTTGAATTCATGATCCTCCTGCCTCAGCCTCCGGAGCCACTGGGGTTATAGACGTGTACCACTGCATCCAGACTTAGCTGCCCATTTTTATGGTTTGTGAATTATATTTCAATTTAGCTGTTTGCAACAAAGAGTAGGTGAAATTTGACTTAACTGGCAAAAATCCATCAGTGACTTAGTTATACAAATAACAGAAAAATTTTTTTTATAAACTATTCCACTCACAGGAGCAATGAATGATAATTACAATTTCATTTCAGTCAATATTTCATGGCCATACATCTGAAACCATAACAAGGTTCCTCAACAATTTTTCTCTCTTCCAGATTTTTAATAATCATAAATACATGAGAACATTAATCAGATACATGGCAAGGCAGAAATGCCACTGTCAACCAAATCCCCTCTTTCTAATGGAATTCTTCATCATAGCTGCTGTTATAAAATATTTCTGAATAATAGGCACAGCACAGAAAAAACTGAACCTGAGTCCAGTGTGGTAGCACATTCCTATAATTCCAAGAACTGGGGAAGCTGAAGCAGGAGAATTTCAAGTTCAATGCCAGCCCAGGGGCAACTTAGTGAGATCCTGTCTCAACATTAAATAAAAAGGCTGGGAATATAGCTCAGTGGTAGTGCCCCTGAGTTTGATCCTCAGTACTGTAAAAAATGGAAAAAAAAAAAAAAAAGAAAACTGAACCTGATGACCTTGAGAAGAAGGGATTCAAACCAGAAATCTCAGGTTAAAACTGAAAAACTGCAGACTTTATATTTGTAAAATAAAGAACTGGACTAAATCAAATATCCTTAACCAGAAACAGGCATTGAAATCAATCAGAGCATTCTGGGCAGTTTTTCTTTCCCTTTTTTTGTTTTTTTTTTTTTTGGTGATATGAGAAAATGAACCTAGGGGCTTTGAACATACCAGGCAAGTATACTATCACTAAGCTCCATGCATCTTTTTCAACTTACCGAAGGAGCTTTTCTTCTGTTTTTTAAAAAAAAGCTCTACAGGGACTCCCACAGTGGCATAATACTGTAATCCCAGTAACTCAGAAAGCAGAAGCAGGAGGATTACAAATTCAAAGCCAACCTCAGCAACTTATCGAGACCCTGTCTCAATATAAAAAATATAAAGGACTAGGGATATAAGCTCAGTAGAATCCCCAGTACCAAAAACATAAATGAATAAATAAATAAGCTCCATAGGGGGTCATGGATGCAAGTCCAGTGACAGAACACATACTTCCAATGTATAATCGCTGGAACCGAATAAAATAAATAAATAAATAGTTTTATAGGAGATTTTTTCTTGTGCATTCTTAAGAATCTGAGAATAATATAGTTTCTCAAGTTACTTTCTACCTCTTAAAAATATATACCAACCACTAACACCACCACAATCGCCCAGAAAAACAAACCTTGGAAATGATGAAATTTAAAATATATCCTTACCATTTTCTGCAGTACTTGGGCTCCTTCCTGAATTCTTTCACGATCATTGCTATCTACCACAAAAATAAGACCCTAGGAAAAAAAATTATTTCAATAAATTATAAAATAAAACTTAAGGCACAGAGTAAATATGAAACATAACTAGCAAAATGTTATCAAGGTTAGACACTGGAAGAAAATGTTCCCTTACTGAAATGTAACAAACAAAAAAAAAAAACCTCAGGGTTTTAATACTAAAAACTAATAAGCATTATTTGTGATTTTAACTTATGTAATTTCAAATCTAAAAGAAAAATCTTAATCTTAACCAATGACGACTTTTCTCAACTATGCTTAAAATACTTTTCAACCCTTTTTTCTTCCCTAGCATATATAAGCACAAGTAAGTAAAGAGCAAAATAAACACAACGTGAAGACAAAAGGAAAAAGGATAAACTAATGATTCCAAAGAATCATGAATTTACTAAGAACAGGCTTATTCCCAAAAAAGCATGCTACAAAAAAGAAAAAAAGTGGCAGGAGTGAAGGGAGAGCATGCCCTAAAATAGTTTGCATATGCTTCAACGTGGAAAGAAAAAAAGAGCCTTATTCCAGAATGTTGCCTGCCAACTCTATCATGAGAAGACTCAAACAAAATATAACACAAGGATTGTGGTAAAGTATTTGCCTTGCACACACAGGCCCTAGGTTCTATCCTCAGTACTGCCAAAGGGGAAAAATAAGTTTTTTTTTTTTTTTAAAGAGAGAGAGAGAATTTTCAATATTTATTTATTTATTTATTAGTTTTTCAGCGGACACAACATCTTTGTTTGTATGTATGTGGTGCTGAGGATCAAACCCGGGCCGCATGTATGCTACCGCTTGAGCCACATCCCCGGCCCCATAAAATCTTTAAAACTATCTCATCATCAAGTTTAATCTGGGAACAAAAAAAACAAAAACATGAAAATTTCAAGATTCACTTGATCAAACTGAATTTTTTTTTTTTTTTTTTTTTTTTTTTGGTCTGGGTATTGAACCCAAGGGTACTTAACCATAAGCCACATATCCAGCCTTTTAAAAACATTTTACTGACAGACAAGATCTCACTAAGTTGCTTAGGGCCTCGCTCAATTGCTGAGGCTGGCTTTAAAATTTCAGTCCTCCTGTTTCAGCCTTTGGAGCCACTGGGATTACAGGGGTGCACAACTGTGCCCTGTGCAAATAAGAAATTTTTAACAAAAAAGGAAGGTAGTGATTTTTTTTTTTTTTCGGCAGTACCTCAGGGTGATCTACCACCAAGCTACATCACAAGCTGTTTTTATTTTGAAGCAGGGTCTCAGTAGTGACAGTCTTTAAAGATATTTACAAATATAATAATTCTGTACTACAAAAGAGATACCATTTGAATTAAGACTTTTTGAAAAAATTTCAAATGGAAGCCAGTCATGGTGTAATCCCAACAACTTGGTAGGCTGAAGCAGAGGATTGTAAGTTTGAGGCTAGCCTCAGCAATTTAGAAAGGCCCTAAATAACTTAGCAAGATCCTGTCTCAAAATAAAAAATACAAAGGGCTGGGGATGTGGCACAGTGATAAAGCAGCTCTGGGTTTAATCCAGTACCTCAAAACATTAAAACAACTTTCATATGGGAAAGTATGAAATTCTCAGCCAGAAAAGCAGGGACAGATTAATTTAATAGCTTTGGTAAAATCTATTGGTATTTTGCTAATGTGATTCACTGCTTTTAATATTTTTCTTCCTACAACCCTACCTTCTAAAGTATTTTATTTATGGTTTTTTTTTTTTTTTTTGGTAATGGGGGATTGAACCTAGGGGGCTCTACCATTAAGCTACACTCCAGCCCTTTTTACTTTTCTTTTTTCTTTCTCCTTATTTTTTTAGTTGTAGATGGACACAATACCTTTATTTATTTATTTGTTTTGTGGTGCTAAAGATCAAATCCAGTGCCTCACACATGCTACGCAAGCACTCTACACTACTGCGCCACAACCCAGCCCTCTTTTTACTTAAATATTTTTTTAGTTGTTAATAGACCTTTATTTTATTTATGTATTTATATGTGGTACTGAGAGTCAAACCCAGCGCCTCACACATGCCAGGCAAGTGCACTACCACTGAGAAAAACTGATCAGGAATGCTAGAAATGCAAGCTAAGAGCTTAACTGTGATTACATCAGGTGACACCTAAGACTTTCTCCAGCAAATATGAATTCCCTAGGAAGAAATACTTGGGATTTTAATTCTAGGGTGGCGTGAAGGCCAGGAATGGAGCTAATCTAAAATTTAAAACTCAAAAATTCTTACAAAGTGTTGTAAGTAAATCCAGAGATAAAACCATTACTGGTGGATCAAGAATTATAAGGTTTTACATGATGCTTAACTTTACTTCAAAAATATGCTCCCTAGCCAGGCCCAGTGGTGGCACCTGTAATCCAAACAACTTGGGAGGCAGAGGCAAGATCATCATAAGTTCAAGGGCAACCTGGGCAATTTATCCAGAGACCCTATCTCAAATTTTTTAAAAAAGGGCTGGGAATGTAACCCAGTTATAAAGCACCCCTGGCTTCAATCTCAGTACAAAAACAAACTCCCAAAACAAAAACAAAAACTCCCTAAATGAAACACTAAGACTCATTTTTAAATAATTCAGGGGATTGGGGTTCACTAAACATGACTATCGGTTAAACAATACTGACTATATCCAACAACTAAAATTGTAATAATGGGAATTTATTATGCTAAATAAAGTTTTTTAAAGTATGGCAACTTTGATAAGCAAAGCTATTTTAATGACATACACATTCTTGTTTTTAAATAAGAAAGTATCCCATTTTCTTATTTTGACCTACTACTTATACTAGGTTTGTTCCAACCTCTCACCTGGGATATTCACTGCCCTCTGGTGGCATTATATCTCATTTGCATGCAATATTTTAAATGTTGGAGAGCAAGTCTAACGTTACAAATTTAAAACATATCAGTACTTTTAATATCACACTTTAATTTTTTTTAATATTTATTTCTTAGGTGTAAATGGACACAACACAATGCCTTTATTTTTATGTGGTGCTGAGGATCGAACCTGGGTCCCGCCCATGCTAGGGGAGTGCTCTACCACAATCCCAGCCCCATCACACTTTAATTTTTTAAAATTATCAACTTCAGTAATAAAAAAAAAACTAATGAGTAGAAGAGACAGCAGAATCGGGACTAGATTAAGCAAAGAACTCTCCAATCTTGAAGTCATTTCAAGTTTTAATTTCCTCATGAGATTTAAACTACAACAGTGGTTCTCACTGAGAAGCAGTTTTGCTCCCAGGGACTATTTTCCAAATTTTGGATTGTCAAAATTCAGTGAGACAGCTGCTACTGACATTTATCTAATGAGTAGAGGACAAGGAAGAGAGCCTTACTTACAGCCCAAAAGTGTTAGTATGACTGTTGTAAGATCCAAAATCAGCATCACCAGAGAACTTGCTAGAACCCCAGGCCTGGCTCTGTTTAACCAATATGTATTTTTGACAAATATCCAGGTAATTCATATGCACATTCATGTTTTAGAAATGCTAATGATGCTTAGTTACTTGCTCAGAGATTCTGATTCAAGTGGTATTTTGATATGATTGAGGCTTCTGGATTTTGAGAGCTCCTTAGGTGATTATCATATGCAGCTAAATTTGAGAACTCCTAATCTACAGGATCACTAAAGTCTCTTCCATGCCAGTATTATATATACTATATGACACTAATAAAATTATCTTACAAGTCAACATAACATTTATCTTAAATATTTTAAGATAAATTTTAAATAAAGTAACAAACACTGGGCTACTTGAGAAGGTCTATCATTATCTTACATTTATTAGAAACCACTACGATAAAAATTTACACATACTTTTCTTTCTAAACTAACAATGAGAGACCTAATTCATGCTTTTTTTTTTTTTTTTTGAGAAAAAGAAGTTTTTTTTTTTTTCTTTGCTAGCAAAGGAGAAACACAGGAGACTCCTGTCCCAGAGGCTGTGATTCTGCCCATCAGCAGGACAGGGGGTTTTGAAGAGGTGATTTCAAGGCCATATTCCACTGGTCTCTGTGGAAGTTGTAATTCATTTGTTAATTTGGGAGATAGTCTGAGATCTTCTGGTACCTCATTCTTGAAAACCACATCTGCACCCATCCCACCTCATCTTTCAAAATCTTACTGGGTTAGCTAACTCTTACCACAGGTAGTTTAGCTTTCAAAGGCATGAATGAAAGTCCACTAAAGAATATGGGAGTAGTAATAAGGTCAACTCATATGGTACACACCAACCTCCAAGTAAACACTAGATATTAATGTAAAATTCATTACATGAAACCTATAAAAAAGGTCTTAAATTTTTTTTATACCATTCTTACCTGGGTATTCTGGAAGTAATGCCTCCAGAGAGGCCTAATTTTATCTTGACCACCAACATCCCATACTGTGAAACAAATGTTCTTATACTCTACTGTTTCCACATTAAAACCTACAAGGAAAAACAAAAATGCTGTGCATAATGCATTGTTAAAATAAACTCCTTTACTATGGAATATCTTAGTTATCCTATCAAGAAAATCATCAAGTTTTAACAAAAACACAGATTCTGCCTTTTTTCCCATTAAGATGTAAGTTAAAGTCAACAGTAAACTTTCTTACCAATGGTAGGAATGGTGGTGACTATCTCCCCTAACTTCAGTTTATACAGAATGGTCGTCTTGCCAGCAGCATCCAATCCAACTAGAAGAAGACATTACAGATTTAAAATCTAGACCAAAAGCATACAAAGAAATAATTTTATAATGACTTATTAATCTGAAAGTAAAAGTTGACTGTTCACGGCACAAATCTGAGTTAGAAACAAAAATCACCTCACTTCTGATTCCCAAAGGGAATATACTAGAAGCCTTTCTATTTTTCTTTCTAGACCTATCAAGACAGCATAAAGTAGCAAAAGGAAAAGAATACCTGGTTGACTCAGAATCTAATCTTTGGTTCTGCCACAAACTTGATAGGTAAGCACTCTGCAGTGAGCCATATACTCAGCCCTAGGTTAAATGATTTTTATTTTTTATTTTATTTTTTTGTGGTACTGGGGCTTAAACCTAGGGGTGTTTTACCACTAAGTACATCCTCTCTCAGTCCCTTTTATTTTGAAACAGGGCCTCACTAAATCGCTGAGGCCAGCCTCAAAGTTAAAATCTTCCAATCTCATCCTCCCAAGGAGCTGTGATTACAGGTGCACATCTCAGAACCTGTCTATCACCCACCCTCTTAGAGGCACACACCTGTAATCCTTGCAACTTGGGAGTTCGAGGCAGAAGGATCACAAGTTCAAGGTCAGCCTTGTAATGAGGCCCTAGGCAACTTTAATGAGACCCTGTTCTCAAAATAAAATAAAAGGTTCAATACCTGGTACTAAAAAAAACTAAAAAACAAAAACAAATTAGAAGATGAATCAGAGAACACAGAATAATAACAAAATCTATAGAGCATACTTTAAGCAAAATGACTTGATGTTAAGGAGAAAATATAGGTAACAGTGTCTTGGTCTCCTTATAATAATAAATGAAGAAAAGGCTAAATATACCCCTACCTCATCCATTTCAACATCAAATATGCACAAATAAGAACCAAAGTCTGGGGCTTGGGATGTGGCTCAAGCGGTAGCGCGCTCGCCTGGCATGCGTGCGGCCCGGGTTCGATCCTCAGCACCACATACAAAAAACAAACAAAGATGTTGTGTCCGCTAAAAAACTAAAAAATAAATATTAAAATTCTCTCTCTTAAAAAAAAAAAAGAACCAAAGTCTGGCTTAATTTGTATTGTAAAAATGGTTCTCCAATATAAATCAAGTCTTTCTTCTTAAAACAATTCAATTGAAGCTAAGGTGTAAGTAGGGAGGAATGTACTTGCTATAGAGAAAAAAATCCACATTGGAAAATGATAAACTTATTACAATGATAGGGAAGAACAAATTAAGTCCTTTCAAGTATGACTCTCTCAAAATCTGTATATTCTATATTGTTTGCAAAAGCCCTCATAAATCAAAGACCAATATCTAATAACCTCACTGAATGTCTCAATTTTCTAAGAACATCACTTTTAGCAGCCTCATTTATTTTTATGACATATTTTTTAAAAAATTAATTGAGGGGCCGGGTTTGTGGCTCTGGGGTAGAGTGCTTGTGTGAGGCACTGGGTTTGATTCCTGGCACCACATAAAAAAAATAAATTAAATAAAGGTATTCTGTCCATCTACAACTAAAAATATATATTATTTAAAAATCAACTGAGTACTGATTGCAGCAAGGACACATTCTATATATTTACATCAAAGCATAATTTAGCACATGAAAGCAATGACAGTAAGTTTTATATAAAAAAAAAAAAACTGAAATCATCTCAATTATCTTGTTTTCATTCCTGTGCAGTAAGTTTAATTTTTATCAGTTTGTCCAAAATGAAGACTATATAGTAATTCAGACTTATCCCACCTAATCCTTCCTATTCTCTACCCTACTTTAAGATTTCCCTTCATGCTCTAGCCTCTATGACTTCTTATACCTGTGCCCTCTAATCAAATCCTTTTCCCCCTTTTATACTAGATCACAGGTTTATTCTTTCTAAAATTCTATGACACATACAGTACAATGAGTCATCCACCCCAAGCCTTCATTCTTGGGCATAAGAACTACTATACAAAGTTTTATTTTTGAATATGAAACAGTAACAAAAAGATCAGTAGAGGGTGAGGACTATTGCTCAGTTGGTAGAGTACTTGCCTTGCATGCACAAGGCCCTTGGTTCAATCCCCAACACACACCAAAAATAAAAATAAAGTGCTCTTTGGGGCCAGGGTTGTGGCTCAGTGGTAGAGATCTTGCCTAGCATGTGTGAGGCACTGGGTTCAATCCCCGGCATCACATAAAATACAACAATAAAATAAAAGTATTGTGTTAAAAAAAAAAAAAATCAGGAAAGCATGGGATATAACTCAATGGTAGAAAAGTGTCTACCATGTGCAAGGCCATGGGTTTAATCCCCAGCACCACAAAAAATAAATAAGAAAACAATTTGAATAATTAGCAAAGAGAAGACACTACTGTAAAATCTGACATCTTCAGTGAAAACACACACAAAAGGAAGGCGTGTAAAACAACCAAATCTTTTAATTTTTCTACAATGCTATCTCTCTTGAGAGAATAAGATATTTTTAAGAAAACAACAACAACAAAATCACCTTAAAATCCAAACACAATTAAGCCAAGTCAGAACTGAAACTGAAATGCTGGTTAGGAAAAAGGAAAATGAAAAACAAAAGCACTCAAATCATATACTGAGAACTGACCAATCCTCATTGGAGGTCCAGCAAGACCTCATTCCACCTTTTAAAAACAATGTAAAAGCCAGGCATGGTGGCCCATGCTTGCATTTCCAGCAAGTGAGGAAGCTGAGCAAGAGGACTGCCAGTTTAAACTGCCTAAGCAAATTAACAAGACCCTGTCTTAAAATAAATGAGAAGGACTGGGGATGCAGTTCAATGGTAGAGCACTCCTGGGTTTAATTCCCAGTATCACACCAATAAAATAAAAATAAAATATAAATCAAAAAATACTAAGAATGCATAAAGTCCAAGATGAATCATGATTAAATAATTATTTTAAGTTATAAAAAAAGACACAAGTATTCCAATTATTCTTTTAATAAGTTTTATAACGGTAAGTCTTTTTTTATTTTTTATGTGGCACCAAGGATCAAACCCATGCCTCACACATGCTAGGCAAACACTCTACCACTTAACTACAACAGCAGCCCCCCAGAGTCTTTTTTAACCTGATTAGCAAGTATGGCTTTCATTAAAAAAATACATAAATAAATAAATAAATAAATTTCTTTTATCAAAATGTTGAACTGTTTACATTTCCTGAAGCATCCTTTTGAAGATGACTGCTTTATAGCCTTCAATAAGAACTTTTTTTCAGGGAAGCATTTACAAAATAATGCAATCAGAAAGACCTTTTAAGCACCCACAAATTATTTTTTACATGAAAATTACAAGGGGTTAGGGCTGTAGCTAGGTGGTAGAAAGCTTGCCTAGTATTCAAGAAGCCCTGGGTTTGGTTCCCAGCAGCATAACAAACAAAACAAACTACCAGACAACAGGGCTGGGGACATAGATCAGTGGCAGAGCACATCAGCATGCATTAAGCCCCGGGTCTGATCTATAGCACCACAAAACTGCCTCCCAAACTACAGTTGTTTTGTTTTTGTTTTAGAGAGACAGAGAGAGAGAATTTTAATATTTATTTTTTAGTTATCGGCGGACACAACATCTTTGTTTGTATGTGGTGCTGAGGATCGAACCCGGGCCGCATGCATGCCAGGCGAGCGCGCTACCGCTTGAGCCACATCCCCAGCCCAAACTACAGTTTTAATAGCTCATAGCCACATAAAAGATATCTTCTCAATTGTATCCAAAATAATGGTGCTGTATAAATACAAACCAAGAGTTGTTTTTTATTTGTTTTGTTTTTTAAAGGCTGGGGTTGTGGCTCAGCAGTAGTGCACTTGCATAGCATGTGTGAGGCACTGGATTCAATTCTCAGCACTGCATATAAGTAAATAAAATTATTAAGGTCTGTCAACAACTCAAAAAAAAAAGGCATTTCTATTGTGAGCTTTAAGATGCACAAATTGTAGGAACACACCATCATCAACTTAAAACTCATTATATAGTTCTTTACACAAAAACTTATTGGTCTAACAATTTTGTGCCACTTTAGAAATTTCTATTTTTTTTAAATATATATATTAGTAGTAGATGAACACAACACCTTTATTTTATTTGGTTTTATTTTTATGTGGTGCTAGGGACTGAACCCAGTGCCTCAAGCATGCTAGGCAAGCGCTCCACCACTGAGCCACAACGCTGGTCCCACTTTAGTCATTTCTTAATATGTATTTCCTTATGTTTCAATATGGATGATCAAAGTGTTAATATTCCAAGCAAAACTACTTCAGTAACCTTTGCCAATCATTAAAAAATATGCCTACCAACTTACAGCAGTCAGAAATTCTTATATTTCAAGTTAAAGAAGGCCGATGCAGGGTTGGGGATGTGATGCTCAGTGATAGAGCACTTGCCTCGCATGTGTGAGGCACTGGGTTCAATCCTCAGCACCACATAAAAATTTTAAACAAAATAAGTTAATGTGTCCTTCTACAACTAAATAAAAATATTTTTAAAAAGAAGGCAGATGCAATTATATCAACTTTGAAAGGAAAAAAAAAAAAAGTACAGAAAAAAACCCTTTCCAGATGGGAAAAATTATTTTCCTTCATGTTTTCCTTTCTCTTTCAAATTTTGTTTTCCTTTTAATTTCATTTTCCACTTCAAATTTTCGTAAAAAGTTTGAAATACACCATAATTTTAAAATAATCATTTAAAATTGAGAGTTACTGTGTTCCAAGCACAGTAGCAGGTCCATATTTTTGACACTTACATCCTTAAATTAACCTTCCATTTTTCAGACTAGGCATCTTAAGTTCAGAAATGTCCCCAGAATCACAGAAGTAAAACAGCAGGTGTTCAAAACCCTAGGTATTCTGTAGAATTAGAACCTTCAAATGTTGCTAGTGGGAATGTGAATGACACACTGCTTTTGAAAACAATTTGTCAGTTCCCCAAAATGTTAAACGATTATCATATGACCCCCAAATTGCACTCCTAGGTTTTTACCTGAGAATTAAAATATGTGCCCACCAAAACAAACTTGTCACATATGTTCATAATATCATAATGCCATTATTTATGAGACCAGTAAGTACAAATGCCCAAATTTACATCAACTAATGAAAGGAGAAACAAAATGTGTTATAGGTGTCATACAATGGAATTACTATTTGGCCATTTAAAAAAGGCATGAAGGGCTGAGGTTGTGGCTCAGCGGTAGAGCACTCGCCTATCAAGTGTGAGGCCCTGGGTTCGATCCTCAGCACCACATAAAAATAAATAAATAAAACAAAGGTATTGTGTCCAACTACAACTAAAAAATAAATATTTAAAAAGTAAAATAAATAAAATAAAAAAGTCATGAAGTACAAATACATGCTACAACAAGAACTTTGAAAACATCATTCCAAGCGAAAAAAGCCACACAAAGGGCTACATATTACATGATTCCATGGTATAAAATGTTCAGAATAGACAAACACAAAAATAAAGTAGATTAGAGAGGCTGGACTTTAGCTCAATGGCAGAGCATTTGCCTAGCATGTGTGGGGCACTGAGTTCAATCCTCAGAACTGCATAAAAAAATAAATAAAGGCATTCTATTCATCTACAACTACAAATTTTTTTAATATTTATTTTTTAATTGTAGTTGTCAATAATACCTTTTTAAAATTTACTTTAATGTGGTGCTGAGGATCGAACCCAGGGCCTCACACGCACTAGGCAAGCACTCTACAGCTGAGCCGCAACTCCAGCCCCCCACCTCCAAAATTTTTTTTTTAATAAATTAATAAAGTAGATTAGAGACTGCCAGAGAATGGGAAGAGGAGAATGGAAATGTCTGCTAAAGGGTATAGATTTCTTTTTTGGAATGATGAAAATATTCTGGAATTAGACAGTGGTGATGGCTACAAAATACAAATATACTAAAAACCGTAAATTTTATGGTACATAAATATTACAACTTAAAAAAATAAAAAGACAAACAACCTAATCCTGACACCAGAGTGCTAAAGTATTGTTTATAAATACTGCCATTAAATTTTTCTGGAGGATGTAATGTACCTTAATATTATCTGTTTGACCATTCAAACAGAAACTGAGGCTACCAGCTATGAAAAAGTACAGTGAGTGTAAGTTTTGCTTCTACTTAACAGTTCAGGAACATTTGCACTTGATTTATCAGGTTAATTAGAAACATATCATAAAAGTCAGTGTTAGCCACACTTTGTTGTAATGCAGATGTATCTAGGTATGGCTGTATCTATCAACTTCTAGTAACATGAAACTTGATTTTTTTCCCTTTCAGATTTTGAAAATTTCCTATACTCTCATAACTAATCAGAAAGGCCTTATTTTATTTTGCAGTGCTGGGACTCAAATCCAGGACTGCAGGCATGCTAGGCATGTACTCTACCATTGAGCTACATCCCCAGCCCAGGCCCCTTTACAAAAAAAATTTAAAGGGCTAGTAATTATGTTTTCAACTAATGACATGAGAAAATGCTTGCAATAAGGATAAGTTAAAAATGAGAACAAAAACTATCACAACTCAATTTTAGAACTGAAAAATGATATAGCTACTTTGGAACTTTGAAAACATGAGAGTAAAGATGGCAAATAATAGTGAAATAGTAATTACAAGCAATTATTACTTTATTCTTTCACATGTTGTCTAAATTTCACAAACAGGACATATTTTTTAATCAGTGCAAAAAAACTACATAATAAATGGATTTACGAAATATGCTGAAAAATATGAAACACCACTTTTAGTTTGAAGACCCACATAAAATATTGCTAATATTTCTTAAACTTGGCAAATAAAAGATCCTTCCTCTTGAACCTCTCTGGTCCCAAAGAACCACAGTAACATTCAAGGCAATACAGACTACAATGGTATTAGCAAACTTTTAAAGCAATACTTTTCGATCCTTTTCAACAGGTTAAAAACTCAAAAATTCAAAGTAAAAGAGGTGAGAATAACTATCCTCTGCAGAACCCATGAGCATATTCAGATATAAACAAAAATTCACAGATTCCCTTATTAAAACTAACATTTTATCACAGACCAAGATATGGATATCTACTTAAAATAAGTTAATGTAAGGCTAACTGCTTTCTAACTCCAGCTGTATAAGAACTCGGATGATATCTGGCTGCCCTTGAATTTAAACTTAATAGCAAAACATGAGTAATTAGCCCTTATAAATACTACATAGTTTCTGTCCTTCAAGAGTCCAAAAGACTTTAAATTTGAGAGTGTTGGCTTTTTATTTCTAATTACAGTTAACTACCAGCCTTATCTTCCAACACTGATTTTTTTCAATAACTTGAACTTTTGGGACAGCAGTAAAGGCAGGAATTAAATTTACATCTTTTCCACAGTAGCCTGGCAAAACAGACACATTAGCTAACTGCTTTTAATACATTTTGTGACCTACTATTTATGCTGTCACTCTTAAAGCCACAAAGAAAAACCTAAGACTTATCAAACTTTTAAACCACCTCCTTTCCCTGTTCTTGAGAACATATCCCTGTTCGTACTTACTCTAATAAGTTACCATAAAAATTCGCCTTGTGACAAAAGTGTTTTTAATCAAGTAAAACTGATTATTCCTAAACTAAAGTAAAAAAAGAAGAAAAGCAAACCATAGGACTGGGGCTGTAGCTCAGCAGCAAGCACTTGACTAGCATGCATGAGGCACTGGGTTCAATCCTCAGCACTACATAAAAATAAACAAAGGCATTCTGTAATTCTATAATTACCAAAAAAAAAAAAAAAAAGAAAAAAGAAAAATTAATGAAAAAAGAATAGCAAACCATAAAATAAATAATTCCAAATCCTGTCTTCTATCACTTGCAGAAAATTAAATACTTATCCCCTTCCATTTTCTTCTGATCATTATGTGGGAAAGAGGGGAAAGCAAATATAAGACATTGTTTATAGCATATTTCTGCCCTTCTTCCCATTCTGACAGTTTTAACCATAACAAAAGACCAAGGAAAGGAAAAATAGCAACTGATTTATGATAAACATTAAGTAAAACAACCAATGTACTACATTTTCAGGAACACAATTACGTCCAGGTAAACCTCTAAGAAACAGCCTGGAAATTGTATTTATCATAGTCCAAAAGTTCTCCCACTGACTTCAGATTCTTTTTCTGACTGCCAACTTTCAGCCACTTAAAACTTAAAAAATATGCCTGCCCTTCTAAGTCTGTCCTCTTATAAAGGAAATATGAGAAACTTAAAAACACTAACTTGTCTTTGTGAACGAATCATGAACAATTGTTTTATGGATTGTAAAGAAACTAAGAGGAAAATAAAACAAGAACCAAATGTGTAAAATAACTCTTCATATACCTTAAAATATTGAACTTATCACAATAGCAGAACTGGAAAAATAGGTCCCACTGCCACTCTCTAGAAAACAAATAAACCAACAAGCTTCACACTTGAGAGGCTACTTTTAACATTATTCAGGTCTATTATTCGGTTGTGAGGTAGAAACTACTCACAGTACTAGGAAGGAGGGGTTGCTTACATCACCCAAGTGACAGCCCTTCTCCCTCAGCTGTAAAAAAAAAAAAAAAAAAAAGCCTCTGAAAAAGTAGTTTTTAAAATTTTAAGTTTCGAAAAGAAATTAAAAAAAAATTGTAGTTACTATTTGATAAGGTTATCTTAAAATCAAACGTCATGATGTTCGGTTAAGATATTAAAAATTTACCAGGTTTTAAAAGTAGTTTCTCAAAGTTTTCTGTGTTAAACCTTAAGCTGGACAGATATTAGTTTATAATAAACCAAATATATTTAGAGTTCTTAAAAGTAGACAAAAGAAATAGATACATGCTAAACTTGGTTTGCATGGAATGAGCTCATTAATAAGGGGGGAAAAAAGAAGCCGAATCCAGCGCGAGGCAAAGTTTAGCAAAATGAGCTAAAGATTCCGGACTCCCCACAAACCTAGGGTGCCCCCTCGCCATCGCACTGGCCCTGGTCACTTCCTGCCCCAGGCGGCACCAAGTCGTCGGTGGCCGCTCGCTCACCTACCAATGGTGTACGCAGACCGTGTACACCAAGAGGAAAGGAGGAGGAGGAAGGCTGGAGACGCTGAGCCTCCCTCTCAATTGCTGCCCACACCCAGGTTAGAGGAAAAGAAAATCGCACTCTCAGAACGGACCTTACCAGCGTTCGCTTTCCCCAAATCTCCACCCAATCTAGTCCGGTTTTCAATTAGATCAAGGAAAATCAAGTCCAGAATAAGAAAAATGTTTCCCGAGGCTCTGAACCTGCCTCTTCAGCAGCCGATCTGCGGTAATCGCTCACCTTTCGCCATTGTTCCCCCAAAAGAATTCTTTCCGACCCCCGACCCGTCACCCCTCCCCCACCACAGCTGGCGGAGGAAAAAACAGGCCCCGAGGCGGCCCCAAGCTTCAAGATCCGGCCTCCTTCCCGATCCGTACAGGGGTCTGGCCTTCGGTCCCTCACTCACCCATCAAAATACGCATCTGCTTCTTGCCGAAGAGGCGGGAGAACAGAGAAGAGATGGTGAGGCCCATGGCGGTAGTGGCACTTGCGATGGGCAGAATAAGGGGTCGGGGCGTCCCTGGGCCTTCTCCTTTCACACTCCCAACAAACTGAGCGCAAGGGAAAAGAAAGACCTGAGGCAGAAAGGGGGCGACAGGGACCGCTCGTTGGCCGGCGTGACGGGTGAAGCTTCGGGACAGGAATTAGCGGGTGGAGGACCGGCTTGGCGACTGGCGCGGCAGCTCAGGCTCTGACTTTAATTCTCCGGCTGTGCCACGTCACACGGCGGCCCCGGCAACTCTGGCTGCGGCCCTGCCCCTCCAACGCGGACAGATTCGCGTCACCGTCGCCCCATCCCCCTGTTCTTCCGGTACTGCCAGCGCCACTACGCCTGCGCACGCAGGGAATTGGCCATACCTTTGCTGACGTGCATCTCTCCCCGCTGCCACTTTCCGGACGTGGCTCCAGGAGTGGGGCGAGGCCGGATGCACAGGCATACTGGGAGAAGGGCGAAGTCCCGTGATGCCTCGCTTTGTCACTTCCAATCAGACTCAAGGCAAAACGCCTCTGCTCAGAAAAATGTGTTGTAGGGTTGTATCCTTGCTTCCAGGAATGCGAGAAAAGCATTATGGGTTAGATAGTGAATGTTTGGGCGTCTTTCTCTTTCACGCTACGCTTTGGGGATTCCCAGATCCCCCGAATGTACCCTTTTCAAGCACGCGATCAAAATCTGGCCTGGTGGAGAGGCGAAGATGGACCCTGCATTTCAGACAGATAAGTGGTTAATAACAGATCTGCGGGTGAGAAACGGTGGCAATCTAGTAAGGTGGTAGGACACACCAGGTCCTATATCAAGACGAGAGTTCCAAGACGTTTCCATCGGCTGTTGATTTTTTTAACAGAAGGCAGTCAAGGAGGTTTCTTGTATCTTTCCTCTCCTAGAAGCATGAAAGATTTATTCTGTATGTTCAGGAAGTGTAAAGCTTCCTTATTTTAAAAACATTTGTTTCTTATTACAAAATAAATGTTAAAAAGAAGGAACGTTTAATAAAATCAAGTTCTTCAGAGTAGGGACGAAGAGCATGAGAAGAAGATTAACATTAAACAGGGATGAGAGGTGGGAGGGAAAGGGAGAGAGAAGGGAAATTGCATGGAAATGGAAGGAGACCCTCAGGGTTATACAAAAGTACATACAAGAGGAAGTGAGGGGAAAGGGAAAAATAATACAAGGGGGAGAAATGAATGACAGTAGAGGGGGTAGAGAGAGAAGAGGGGAGGGGAGGGGAGGGGGGATAGTAGAGGATAGGAAAGGCAGCAGAATACAACAGACACTAGTATGGCAATATGTAAATCAATGGATGTGTAACTGATGTGATTCTGCAATCTGTATATGGGGTAAAAATGGGAGTTCATAACCCACTTGAATCAAAGTGTGAAATATGATATATCAAGAACTATGTAATGTTTTGAACAACCAACAATAAAAATTTAAAAAAATAAATAAATAAATAAAATCAAGTTCTTCATGAATTTCACCTCCTTCACCACTCTGTTGTTGACGTTTAGGTTTAATAGTGCCACAGTTCCCACTAGTTCTATGTTTATCCACCCTTCAGCTCTGTTTATAGTACTTTTTTGACTTCTTGGCTAAATAGATATTCTGATTACTCAGGCTCAAAGCATCATAAACTCCCAAAATAGTTAAAATTTCACATTTAATGATGTCTTCACAATTCGCCCCCCCTTCCCCAATTGTCTAAAAGCACTAAGAAGGCAGAGAACCAATCTGTTTTTGTATTCCTTGAACTTGGCACACCTTGGACACTCAGTAAAAATGGTTGAGTCATAGGATAACGAAATAAACTGACATATCGGTACTGTGGAATACTGTCATGAGTTAGAATGATATAAAACTATATACAACAGTCTAATGTAAAGATCCCCAAAGTACAGTTGGGGGTGGGAATCGTGAGAGCTGTAGGTAATATAAAAATGGGGGGAATAGGGGCAGGAAACAAGCACCTGGAAAGCCCTGCAGGTAGTGAGGAAACCTGATTTTTGGAGTGATAGTAAAAGGAGATCTGTGATTTTAAAAATTGCTTTATTGAGATATAATTATAGCAATACGATTCACCAATTTAAATGTACAATTTGATAATTTTTAAAAAAATTTTTGTAGTTGTGGGTGGACAGCATGCCTTTATTTTGTTTCATTTTTATGTAGTGCTAAGGAACAATTCAGGAGCCACTTGTCAAAAGAAATGAACTTTATTTTTAGAACACACACACCAAACCACACAGCTCCTCAGGAAAAACCTTCAGAGCCCAACTGCCACCACTGGCTTCCCACAAGCCTCTCAACCTCCCCCACTCCTCCTGCTCTTGAGGCTGATTGGCTGGGTCCTGTGGGCAGAGCCAAAAAAAAAGTTCCCCAATGAGCAGGTCCCTGGTCTGAAAGGGCTGGGAAACAGCCCAATGAGCATCACTGCAGAGGAGCCAATCAGTTGGCAGCTAGAAGTTTGCTGGGGTGGCTGTGAGCCAATCATCAGCTGGCAGCTGGAAGTTTGCTGGGGAGCCTTCCGCTGTGGTTCTCAACAGTAGTTGTAGGTGGACAGCATGCCTTTATTTTGTTTCATTTTTATGTAGTGCTAAGGATCAAACCCAATGCCTCACACATGCGAGGCAAGTGCTCTGCCACTGACCTACAGCCTCAGCCCCCAATTTGATTAATTTTAATAAATGTGTTCAGTAGTGTGGTTACCATCTTTACATTTCTTTTACCCCAAAAAGTTTCCTCATAGTCACCCTCTTTTCACCACCACTCCAGCAGCAGGTCATTGTTGTCATTATAATTTTTTCTTTTCCAAGATTTCATAATGGAATTATATATAGTTTTCTTTTTTATGTCTATCTGCTTTCTGCTAGCATGATTTTGAGATTCATTATGTAATTGCATGTATCACTAGTTTTGGGGGTATTTTTGTGGTACTGGGGAATGAACCCAGAGCTCTGACATACTAGCCAAGTGTCCTACCACAGAGCTATATCCCCAGTCCTCAGTTATTATTTTTTATTTTTTTAAACTTTTTTTTAGTTGTAGATGGATACAGTATCTTTATTTATTTTTATGTGGTGCTGAGGATCGAACCCAGTGCCTCACATGGGCACGGCAGGTACTCTACCACTGAGTCACACCCCTAACCCCTCAGTTATTATTTTTAATTGCTAAGTAATAATTCATTTTTTATGCACTTGCAAGTTAATGGACTTTGGGATGTTAAAGTTTGGGGCTATTATGAATAAAGCTATTATGCATATTTGAATATATGTTTTCGTTCCTTTTTTCCCCCCCTCTTTTGGGTACTGGGGATGGAACACAGAGATACTTTACCATCCCCAGATTCACCTGCCTTCTTTAGAAAGTTTTTGAGACAGGGTCTCACTGAGCTGCCCAGGCTTGCTTTGAATTTGCAATCCTCCTGCTTCAGCCTCTCAAATATGGAATTACAGACATGCACCATCACATCTCACCCCTGTGTTTTTGTTTCTGCATTAATTTTACAAGATGAATTTATTTGTGCTTTACTTGTATAATTTAAAAAATAATATTCAGATTTGAATTAAGCACAATTAGTTCCTCATATATTCTTCCAGACTTTCCTCTTTGAAATACTACTGTCTCTACATAAACATTAATGGGATTTTCTACTGATAAGCAAATCCTTTTTCTATTTAATATGCTGCAAACATATTAGTTCTTAATATCAATACTTAAAATCTTAAGCTGTTACATATATATGTATTTTAGTTGTAGGTGGACACAATACCTTTATTTATTTTTATATGTGCTGAGGATCAAACCCAGTGTCTCATGCATGCCAGATGAACGATCTACCACTGAGCCACAACCTTTTTTTTTTTAGATACAGCGCTTCACTGTTGCTGAGACTGGCTTTGAACTCACAATCCTCCTGCCTCAGCCTCCCGATCCGCTGGGATTACAGGCGTGTGCCACCATACCCAGCAACTTGTTCTTTTTATGGGCCGCACGTCATTGTGTACATATAAAATAACTTACTTAACCTATCTGTCAAATTATAAAATGTACATGCTCTTTGATCCAAAAATTCAACTTTTATGATAAGGAACCAGGTGCAATGGTGCATTCCTGTAATCCCAGCAATTCCAAAGGCTGAGGCAACAGAATAGAAAATTCAAGACCTTGTCTCAAAATTAAAATAACCTGGGCATGGTGGCACATGTGACTCAGGAGGTGGAGGCAGAAGGATTTCAAGTTTGGAGCCAGCCTTAGTAATTTAAAACTCTTAGCAACTAAGTGAGACCCTGTCTCAAAATAAAAAAGAACTGGAATTGTAGCTCACTGGTAGAGCACTCCTGAGGTCAATTTCTAGTACTCACCAAAAAAAGTTTTCCTGATAGTGCTGTCCTATGCAGGCCTGTAGTTGTTTATAACACATTTGTGCAGAATGGGGTTAAATTAAGAAAACTGGAAAATTTCAAAAAGAATAAGCTTTTTGTGTTGTTGAAGGCTTCCTGAGGAAAGCTCCCTTTGGTAGAACTACCCTTCAGAGGCTTGTTTCTCAGTAGTGGCCCTGAGCACTCTTAGAGCAAAAACTTCAAAGGTGCTGAGGATGGAACCCGGGCCGCATGCATGCCAAGCGAGCGCGGTACCGCTTCAGCCACATCCCCAGCCCTCTAACAAATCTTAATATGTGTTTTCTAAACAAAATAAAAGACAAAAGTTCTCTTGTCCATATTTAGCCTCCAAAACCTAAATTAAAATTACAGCTTATTACTTAAGAGTATGCTACACATCAAGTATCTAACCTAGGTACTAGGTTATAAAACAGGATGTTAACAACAGGCTGGAATATTTCTATTATTGTACTTATAAAGCTAATCAGGACTAGAGAAGTAAACTGTCCAAAGTCACATAGCTAAAGGTAGTGGAATTGGGATAAGAAACCACTTGCGGGCTGGGGATGTGGCTCAAGCGGTAGCGCGCCCGCCTGGTATGCGTGCGACCCCGGTTCGTATGCGTGCGGCCCGGGTTCGATCCTCAGCACCACATATAAACAAAGATGTTGTGTCCGCCAAAAACTAAAAAAAAAAAAAAAAAATACTACAGTTCTCTCTCTCTCTTAAAAAAAAAGAAAGAAAGAAACCATTTGTTACTATGTATGGAGGCAACTTGCACATAACCCCAGATACTGGAAGCTGAGGTGATAGGAAATTTGACACTAGCCTCAGCAACTTAGGGATAGCCTGTCTCAAAACATTTTTTTTAAGTGAGCTAGGGGTGTAGCTCAGTGGGAGACTGTCCCTGGGTTCAATCCCAAA